AAGAAATAATCAAGTGAGCGAAGAGGTTTTCGTGTTTCTAACTTTGAAAATGACGGACTTCTGTATAACTGTTCATCACTAATTTTACCGCCTTAGGGATGAAAGTCAAAAATCCTTTTTTTTTTTTTTTTTTTCGATTTTCGATTGCCTATTGCCTCTACTATCCTATGTTTTATCCTAGACGACCGAATGGCGTAGTGGTTTGTGTAACGGACTGCTATTCAAATCAAACATTAAATATATATATATTTAATGTTTCGTTTGGTCTGGATGTTTCTTTCTATAATAAGTATGTATTTACAAAAAAAAGTATATATGTATTTATATCAGTTGTCTAGTAGCCATAGTACAAGCTTTGCTTAGTTGGGACTAGATGGCATTGTGTGAATGTGGTAGAATATTATTATTATTATCATTTCATATATAGATTAGAATTAGAAGACACTAATGGATATATTTAAATATTTTATCTACATCAATAAAAATACTTAGATATATTGGAATTAGATAAAGATAAGTCCTTCACGACACACAAACACTTTAATCTGTCTAGACACTGGAGTCTAGATCAATAATGTAGAAAACAGCCATAAAAACCACAAATTACTTTTTTCGTTCCAACTTATACACACGTAATTTCCATAATACACCTTTTTTTTCCGTTCGGAAATCCCCTCGGATACCACCTATCTGTGGCATGTCGGACTCGAACCGACTAAAACCGCTCGCCGTCTTGGGTACTAATAGCCGGGGAACCAGGTATGCCCTAGAAAAGAAGTCCCTGGTGCTCCATAATACACCTAATATGAATCTTTTACATAGGTATATTTACCAAATACGTATAAGTATCTTTTGCCCGTGGCTCCTTCCGCCTCCCTCCTACCCTATGTCCTTTCTTAAGAATCAAAGTATGTAACTCCATGCCAAATTTCATTGAAATCGGTCCAGCGGTTAAACCATGAAAGCGTAATATATTGACAGAGTTACTTTCACATTTATAATATTAGTAGCGATTATCTTAAAACAAAACTAAAATTGTTTTTTGCTTAGCTTTGTTTCAGGTCTCATTGAGGAAACAGTTATAGGTATCTCTTATCTATCTGTTAATCTATACTAATATTATAAAGCTGAAGAGTTTGTTTGTTTGTTTGAACGCGCTAATCTCAGGAACTACTAGTCCGATTTGAAAAATTCTTTCAGTGTTAGATAGCCCATTTATCGAGGAAGGCTATAGGCTATATATCATCACGCTAAGACCAATAGGAGCGGAGCACCAATGAAGAATGTTTCAAAAACGGAGAATTACTATTGAGAGACGCAGACGAAGTTGCGCGGGTCAGCTAGTATCTTATATCACTACTTATTGATGTAGAAAAACTGCGTTGCGATATTTCCTAACGTGTTCATTTTTTGATCATTACCTCCCTTGTCCAACAGATAGTCAATTAACTTTAAGTTGTACATATATGCACAATGTGCTTCGTTGTAAGTAGCGAACTCAAATTAACATCATGTATTTTTGAACAGTCAAAACTTAAATAGTATGGAGATCACCATGCAGGAAACTTCAAGTACACTTTTGTTCAACATTTGCTTGGCTTACTTTTTTAGAGTTCGTCCGTCTGTCCATACTCTTCTCACACACTAGTAGTATATTATTTAATACACTAAAGATCATATACAGAGCTACTTATTTAGACTCTATGTGCTATGGTGCACCTGTATGGGCCGATAGGGCAACCGTAGGCGCTAACCGTCGCAAACTGTTACAAGGCCAACGACTTGCACTGAAATTCTTGTGCAAGACATGTAGGACGGTTAGCACTGAGGTTTTGCCGGTGTTGGCGGGTGTGCTTCCGCTATGCAATTTTTTGTGCGCACGAGATCGCGATAATAGTACAAGATTGCTTCAACGGCAGTCCGATGTCTATAATGACCTCATAGACGAATCGCAACAACACTGGGACGAATCATCTAAGCGGCGCCACCTTTACCAGTTCTTTCCATCTGTTTGGGAACGGTTGTCGAGAACATGGCTTGAGGTGGATCACTGTGTCGCTCAATTTCTTACGGGTCATGGTAACTTTAAGAGCAAGCTGTATATACATTTAAATTAGTCGAGTCACCATTGTGTCAATGCTCAATATCTAACTCTCACTATGAACAGTCTGCTTATCATATCCTCTGGGAATGTAGTCTTTGGTATAATGAACGTAATATAATAATAATATATCTCACACATCTCACACACCGCCGTCTGATCCCAAACTAGGCAGAGCCTGTACTGTGGTAACAAGACTGCTGATAAACATGCTTATATATTTTTTAAATAGATGCATATTATAGATAAATTACACCCAGACACAGAACAAATGACCGTGTTCATCACACAATATTTGTCCTGGGTCCGGTTTAGCAGTCAGGGTCACTAACCACTAGATCAACAGGCCCGTCAAATGCTGAATAGCTTGCAGGTGAAATCTGGGGCGATATACTATAGGGATCTTGTATCAACTAGGGTGATTTTCGGTGCGTTTAGGCGATTCGGCCATACATATTATAGAAATCAAATATAGCTCACTTAGGACCCATAATATTTTGTGGCCGTGGTGCTTCCCTGTTTAAAAAGGTGTATGTCTATTTTACTTCATTTTGTCGTAACCCGTTGTTCGTATACCCGCTTGTGGAATTGGATTTACTGTATTTCCAACTCCTCCAATTTTCTTCTGATTCATTTCGTTGCGGGTTCCAAGACAGTTTATTTATGTCCTGGGACTTCCCGAGTGTCATAATTTAACTCGGCGTGATCGTGGGTCACTGCTGTTAAACCTGGTACAGGAGTTACAGTGGTTGGCGTGTGGGATTAGTTACGCCCTGTTCTTATTTATATTTTAGTTGCGTATTAGTTCGCATTATTGTGATAGGTAACTAGGAACCCTATAGCTGGCGTGGCTCGGTTGGCTGGTTTTTTAAACCATATGGTAAGCTTATCTTAATGGTCGAAGCTTATGGTTTAGAATTAAATGTGAGCACTGTTATAGAACGAAGTGTAAGGAAAGGTTATCAGGACAACGATCTCTCCGAGTGCCAAGAGAGTGCATCATACCTGTTTAAATTACCAATATCCAACAATGACGTATTTTAATATATTGTTTATATATCATTGACAACCACGGTACCTAGCGCTATGGAAACCCATTTCGTTTAGGCGCTTCGATAAAGTAACAGTCATTGAAATATTCGTCTGTCTGTAATTACCTTGTGATGTCATTATCACTATGCTTTTAGTTATGATATGTTTTTATTTATTATCTGTATTGAGTCATAGAAAAACATACAGTATTCATTGGTTTTGTTAAACGTCATCCGGATTGAGAGAACAATGAGATGTTTATCCGCTCGATTTAATATATAAACTTCCTTTGCTGAGTTTCCAACTCCATATATATTTTGGCACACATTCATTCATAAAAGAAATCGTTTATATTATTATAAAAGTCATTTAAATAAATAGTAACTATAAAATCTCAATACTTAATTATTATTGTAAACGCTATCGCAAGACTAGCGAAAGGTCAAATCAAAATTTTGATTAATTTTAATGCCATTTATCTTTGACTAAAATGTTCCGTGGCTGTAATATTGTCTGTTGAAGAGTTGCCTCGTTTGAAAGTCAATCCTGCGAAGTAAGCAGCTAATAGACAGACAGAGTAGATAGATAGAAAACTCTTTATTTGTTTTATTTATTCAAGCGTCTCTAGTTGCCCTACTAACATGTTGGAGTGTGAATAATGTTAAAAAACCGTAACCGTTTTTTTTCCTGATCTATCATCAAGTGTAATTAGTAATCTCGTCTGTCTTCGTTTGCGGAAGCATTTCCCTAACACACTGCGTATATTATGGACTACGAAAATAAATGACTGCATGAAATTATAAAACTAAATTACGTTTAAAAGTAAATACAAAGACCTTAATAGATACAGACAGCGCCTTTTCTACTTATTTCAACTTATACAGACAAAGTAGTTTTATATGGGTCACTGAATCATCTTCAGCCAATTGCACTAAAAAAGGCGTCAAACCAATCTTGATTTAAAAGGAAAACGTTGACTCGAACTTTGTGCGGAAGTAAAAATGTTACTTTGTAGTGGTTTTCAAGGAGCTGCCTTTAAACTGTGTATTACATCATGTTTTACATATGTATATAACTATAAGGAACGATTTCATGAAAAGGGCTGTGGACTTGCAATATATGCAATTAAAATCGGGCAGACAACATATTGATTGCTTTGTTCAAAATTTGTACACAACAAAAATATAGCAGCGGACTGACATTACGAATGAATTATTCCTTATTAAACTACAAAAGAGCTAGATAGAAACTTGTATGAAGCAACTACCGCTGATGTCACACCTTGCTATAATCACGAATTTTTTAAAGCATATGGCTGAATCATTAAATAAAAAAACAGTACCAGTATGATTCGCGTCTTAGGGTTCGTTAGAAACTTGTTATCAAGTTTTGTTTTCTGCGGGGCCGTGGCCGTAGTACCATTCCAATCGAACCGGCTCATATGTCACAAAAAAAAACATGACTCACCATTTAAAGCTAAATAACATCTATTGACCACGGTAATTTGTTTACTATATTTAAATAATAAAGTCCTTACTTGCGGGAGACACAACATTATGATTCTAAAAATATTCACTTGACGTACAATGTGCTTGTTTGTGTGCTGATTAATATAAAGCGCCTCCATAAATCATAAGGGCAATTATATTTTTAAAGCTATGTAACATCTATTGACCACGTCTGGAAACACAACTTTACGGTTCTAAAAATGTTCCCTTGATGTACAATGAACATATACTGTAATAGATTTTATAAAATATAAAGCGCCTTCCTATATAAGTAGAGCAATTCTATTCTGCGTTGCAAAATGCATTGATGTTTTAATGGCGCAGTTCTGTTCCAGGAAATTTTTCGAACCTGATTTCGGATGCACCTGTATCGGGCCGGTAACCTCAAGTATGACGACAGTAGACACAACTTATTCGCCATTGAGGAAATATTCCACGTGGATATCGAGCAAATCGTTAAGGTTTGACCGTGTTTGGCGTTGCGCTGTGCAAAAATCGTTTTTCCTATCCCGAGTATGATGACGGTCCATTCTTTGATGAAGATTAAACGGATATTTGGGGATGGCATCTATGGCAGAAAGAGGAATAGAGCTGTAGACGATGAACGCTGCTAAAAGTAAAACTAAAAAAATGTCAACTCCTCATTTTCTTAATTCAATGCATTTTATTAACGTAATTGACATATTAATTGTTTGATCTCATAAAAGTTAAATGTAAATTAAAAAAATAAATATTATAGTTAATTTTTATGTCCAAGTGACGCGATGGTGACGCGACACTAAACTTCATGACTTCCCGTCAATTGCAATCATCGCCACGGCAGCGGCAGGCGCCGCCACACCAGCCGGTCTGCCAGTCCGCATTAAATGTTTCACTTTTTTTTTAAATTATATTTGGATAATTCGTATCTAAAATAAAAATCTGTAGACTTTAAGAGTTAAAGTAAAAAACTAAGAATACTGTCAAACAACTGTAAACAGTAGCACACTCATGGTTGGTAACACTGATAAAAACTAGATTATAATGCACTCCATTTTACGCAGATACATATTTTTGAAAAGGCGTTGTTCAGCAATGAGTGGTAATCATGAAATGAGTTTCAAATACCTTATACACAGATGAAATAAAAAAGTGAATCTGCTGATTTTACTGTATCACTACTTCTGAAAACCCATCCCACACTAAGTGTAATAAAACATAAACATACATATTCATTATAATGAGAAATTAAGATTAAAACATACCATAGCACTATTTACGTAGAAAGAAATTTCACCTTTTTTTTTGCTGTATTTATTTTTATGATGATGTACTTTTATATATGTACATTACGATCGTAATTCGTAAAGTTTAGTACGTTTTTTATTCTACAAGAAAGTAGTATAGTGATGAACTGGGTGTTGTAACTCTTGTAAGATCATTTTTTACGTAACGACATACGTCACGAATAAAAATGAATAAACTACTCTCCTTACGAGGGTGTATAATTTCTTTGCCAAGAAATTTATCAACACCACCTGTAAAATATAAACCTTCTGACTTTCAGAAGTTGATATTAGTGTGGACCAAGAAGTATAAGAGTAGAGCGGAAATCCCCACATACGTTTCGTACGTATATTTTTGTTAATTTCAGTCACATAAGTTTAATTCAATGTAACAAAATTTTAACAATATTTATCGAAACAAAGATATAGATCACTCCAGTAGTGCATGAGTTGTTTTTAAAACAGTATATCTAGTTACTACATAACTATTGCTGTTTGTCAAGGTTACTTATTTTTTCCCCTGCAGTTATTATCATTTTTTTAGAACACCATCATTTCAATTATATTTTCTGAAATATCTCCATAATGGGTCACTTTATTTTTTTTTTGCAGTCCTGAACTAATTGAGCGGTCCCGCAGTGAAGCAAGAATTAAGATTGCAAATGTTCTGATGGTACTTACAGCACTTGCAAGTTTTGGTGCTATATTAGTTGGCAAATCGGCTGCTAAGAGGGGAGAATCTGTACATCAGATGAATTTAGACTGGCACAAGAAGTACCAAGATGATTATAAGCAGAAGGATGATGTTGAAACCAAATCTTAGAACAAGCTCTAACAATGCACATTAATACTAGGCAAAATTAATACTTCTAAAAGCTTTTTTTAATATATTATTGTTGCCAATTAAAAAAGTTTCTAATCTTGATATTGTGGTAGTTGTAAAAACTTAAAAATTGTTATGTTATAAGAATATAAATTTGTTGCTTAGAATGTTGAATAATGATTATAAGTTCCTTGCTAAACCTTATATTAAAAAGTACATAGTTACTTTAAACTAAAAATTATTTAACAAAACGAGTACTAATGATATTTCTATAAATACTTTCAGAGCTAGGTTTCCGCTTTTGGCATTAGCTCTGTACACAATCATATAACGGGATTGAGATCATAAAATATGTAAAGTTTAAAAAGGCAGTATAAACTCTGAATGCTGATAACGACTGGCCTGTTGGTCTAGTGGTTAGTGACCTTGACTGCTAAGCTGGAGGTCGTGGGTTCGATTCTCACCCAGGATAAACAATTGTGTGATGTGCATAATGATTTGTTCTGTGTCTGGGTGTAAGTTGTGTGTATTTAGAAATGGGTATATAATTATATTTATCAGCAGTCTGGCACAATTACAAAACTGGTTACAACAGAAAAGGTATATTCCTAAGATGGCAATATTTAATAACAGGATGTAAATACCTAATCATCATTTACATCCTGTTATGAAAAAAAAATTAAGATCAAAACGTTTTTCATTTCTTCTTTCAAAGGTGTTTGTCATTACCAGAATTGACGTAATCACTGACTTCACTGCAACCATATGATAATGAATATTGTACTTCATTTCTCAAGGTTCATCTTAGAGGTGGAACGTTGATAAATTGACTCTCAAATCAAAAAATATTTTTTCTAATTGTAGTTATGAGGTAACACATAAAAACTTCCATTGTGAACCACCTTTCTCTGAAGTTGGTTAAGAAAGAAACAGTAAGGAGGTGTCTATAAACTATATTTATTTATGTACACTATAAATTCCCAAAACAAAATGGATGTTTTTTTCAGTCTTCATAAATTGTTAGGCTTGTAGTATGTTCTGCATTTTTCTGTAAATAACTTTGTAGTCTTTTCTTTGATTACTTCTTCAACACTAAGTTCTGTTTGGAGGAGTCTTAGCTGAAATATTTACATAATAGGTTAGAAAGTGAAACATTTTGTAGTTTTTTTTTTATGATAAGCTGCAGATGGGTCATCTGATAATGAGTGACAGTGAGTTTAAGTGCGTATTTTGAGGGGATTGGACCTGTACCAGGGACTTTCTTTCTAGGGTATACCTGGTTCCCCGGCTATTAGTACCCGAGACGGCGTGCGGTTTTAGTCGGTTCGTGTCCGACATGGCACCGACAGGTGGTATCCGAGGGGATTTCCGCACGGAAAAAAACAAAAAAAAAGGAGATTGGACCTCCGGAAACTTCACTTACTCGGTGAAAAGATGATATTACTCTAGATTTTGCGAGAGTGAATACAAACCTTTTTTTGTTCAAATTTTAAATTTTTCATAACTTCAAAATCATTAGGTTTCTCTTCTTTAGCAGTCTTTAATTTTTTGACCTCTTCAGCGGTCAACACGATACAATTTTTAATGACATCTTCTCGTTGTGAGTTGCCTTTTTGGATTTGAGAATATAAATCTTCGCATGCAGAATGTGCATCAACTTTATTCGCAAATGATTCCGTTGGTAAAGACGTATTAAGTGCATACACTATTTTGTCGTCCAATATACGCATTTTCTTCAGAATATCCTATAAATATTGAAGCATTTTAAATACGCTGAAATGATTTTGGTAGATAAAAAATAGTGAACATTCCCAATTAACGGACCATAACAAATGAGAAATTTATTTACCTGGAATTCTAAATAATCTGGGCACATCATCCCTAATAATTATGTTAGACAATTTTTGGTAAACTAAATAAATTTTATTTTTGAATTACAATTTACAACCGGAGTGGATTTTAGGTTAGATTCTTTTTTCAGCCATAGACAATTAACTCAGACAGAATATCAAAATACGCCATGATTATAGTAGAAAAATAATTAGGAGTATGCTGGTATTAAATTTTAAACTTAACCCAATGTAGTAGTTTATGCAGCTTACATATTTTTGTAGCCTATTATGAGAAAAAGTAACCGAAATTGTGTAAGTAGATTTCCCACACTTAGTCTGATTCTTTCTACCCTAAGGTTGGGTTTTTCATATACTTTTAACTTTGGAAAAACTTCCAAATCACGTAATCACTTCCAAATCACAGAACGTAACACGTTCTTACAGACAAAACCTATTCACCAACCATTACCGCCGAGCAAGATCCTCTACAAGGGAGTCCCTAACGTGACTCGAAATCGTCATCATAAAGAAACGGGGCAGATCACTAGGCATCATAATCGCTATCGTCTTGACTTTGCTTTCGAATTAAAAATCTTAGCTTTTAACGTAAACGCAAAGTCTATGAAAGGGGTGAAAACGTGATATTCAATTTAATGAATGTGGGGGTAAAGACCGTGAGAAAGAATGATTTAATGAAAAGGGAACCTTGTCCACAATTAAACTGCCTCGGTGGTGCAGTGGTAGCATATGCGACTTCTGTGCTGGGGTTTTGGGTTCGAATCCCAGGTCGAACCAAATGTTTGTATGATCTGCAAATATTTGTTTTAGAGTATGGGTGTTTTCTATGTATAAAATGTATGTATTTACAAAAAAAGGATATAAGTATTCTATCAGTCAATCTAGCTTTCATAGTACAAGCTCTGCATAGTTAGAAACTAGATGGCGTTGGGTGTCAGATGTATGAAATATTATTAATATTAACAATATCAATTTGAGCAATCAAGTTGACTTGACAGGTGATTTTAACTTTTACAATAGGCTTTGTAGTTCATAGTGCAATCACAAATTTGTCCAATAAACATGCATCCGGACGACAAGTTGTTAAAGGATTTTATGTAGAGCTGTGGGTCAGGGAGCCAGAGGCTCAAAACTATGGAAAAGTTGTGGTTATCCCAAACAAAGCGAATTGGGGCTTTAAATTAAGAGAAACATATGCGGAGCAATACCTGTTTAAGTTTCGACATGAATTGAGAAATGAGTTATTGTTTTTTTTCATACAAAATTAAGTGTGTTATGCTTTTTTGTAATTTTCTTTAATATCCTAAAAATATTGATTCCAGAAGAATATGTTAAATGTAAAAGTTGTTTGGGAGATAATTTCGCATAGGATTTAAGTGTTTAAAAAAAAATCCATTTTTTTTTTGTTTAAACGATTCGTGTCTAACGGTTTTAGCCAGGACCTTAGTTGCACAATTAATTACGAATCACTTTGGTCCATTCCTACCTAACTTTGTTTGTAGCTTTCTAATGGTACTGTCTATTTTGCCGTATCTCCACTGCAACTAATTTTAAAATGCATTTTTTTCGAGTTATGATACGTATTGACTGTGTCGTGCGATTCGATGAGATTTTTTTGTTTTTTTTTTCTTAGAACAATTTTTTTTAATATATTAAAGTAAAACCACAAAAATCAGAAACTTTTTTATTTGCATTAAATCTTGCTGCATGTTAAAACTTTGAGGTATGGCTCCACATGTTTACCTTTAAATTTTATGTTAAAATTCGCTTTGTTGGGGATAACCACTACCCAAAAGGTAAAATTAAAAGAAGAAAATTACACATGTTTTTAAGAACACGACCGCTTTTATATATTTTGTACATATCTACATAATTAACACATTTTTAAGCAAACAAAGAATGAAAAAAAAAACAAGTTACAGATGATATTGATAAAAATAAAAGTTTTTATTAAAAACGGTATTATACTTTATTTCAAAACGGGTTTTAAACTTGATTAATAATATAAACTAACAGGATATTCATTAAAATTTTGTTTTATCCGAATCTCATCCGTAATTGCATTTTACTAGGAGTAAAAACATATTATAGTAATTTTACTAACTTTAAAATGAATTGTTATTCTGTTGTCCTATGTTTATTTTTTAACATTCTTTAACTTTGACATTCAACAGATCCTGAATCGGGACTTATGGCAAAAAGAAAACTGTTATAAAAAAACTTAATTTTGTTAAGTTTGTGCTTTAAAGAAAAAACATTGTTAGAAATAATTAAAAAAATACAAGTTGTCTCATTTGTTCTGACTTGATGACGGCTTACTGTTCATATATTTCTTTAACATCAATAGATCTGAAGGTTTTGAAATGAATAATTTACATGAAAACTATCTTACGGTTGTTTTTATAATTTCACTGACAGAGAAGTTATACTCGTAGTTGGACCCCAGTACCCTTAATTGGTTTATTTTGGTAGATTTCACAGAAAATACCATTATCTGCAATAGCAACCTTATCAATAACTTGGTCACACCTATCTTTAAGTGTCTCCTTTTCATTTCGACAAGTCAAAATGAAGTACGTTTTCAAAATATTTTCTTAATTCTTCTATATCATTTTAATCAGATAATGTTTTTCTGCTATTGTGATACAAATCTGAAGTGTCGTGATGTTTACTTATTGTGTGTGATTGATTTTCAGGATCGGACTTTGCGCTTACAGTGGTTACAAAATCTATCCTGGCCATGGTAAAACTATGGTTAAGGTGGACGGTAAGGTAAATAGCTATTATTATTATTTTCATATTCTATCTTAGGTTGTTTACGACTTCTCCGTACTTTTAAAACTCATAACCCCACGTTTGAAATTTTCTAAACAGCTTTAATAAGGCTGTGTTTCACACCATTATTTCAGTAACTTTTTTACCAATGCTTAGACGTACTAACTTCGGGTCACTATTAGTTAGAGAACCAACCTATTTGTTGAAGTTTACGATACTTATTAGATAATTGTGTTTTTCAGTCCTTCACATTCCTGAACTCAAAATGTGAAGCGGCACATCTCATGAGGAGGAATCCTCGCAAAGTAACATGGACCGTGCTGTACAGGTAATAAATTCACCAATACCTCCAAATTTTTAAGAGAACCAAATTAAAGAACAAAATTGTGTAAGTTTAAGGTTATGTTGTACCATGATATCATTACCTTGTTGACGCTTGTGAACTTCTAGCAGTTGAGGTATGTTTGTTGCATGACTACCACTTTCATTGTTTGGACTTATCTGTGTTTAGATTCTGAGTACTATATTTCTGTTAGTCTCGCTCACTTTGGTCTTAATTTTGTTACTACTTGAATGTGTGTCTATCTGGTCATGTATACTGTGCATGCCTGTAATTGGTCTACATATAAGAACTACCCTTATATTGAACTGCATTTTGAACAATGTTGTATATGTATACTGTTGGCGTGTCTATAATAAATAAATAATTCTTAATGTATCTTGCCCAAATTTTACATTCATCAATTGCATCACTTAGATTTTACTGTTTATAAAAGCAATAAATTATTTCAATAAATTCTGGCCAGTGTGGTATAGTAGGCCAAAACCCCCTTTCTAAGGAGAGGCCTATGTCCAGCAGTGGACTAATATAGGCTGTTGATGTGATGTGAAATTCTTTTAAGTATTGAGCAATCAGTAGATATTGGTTAAATGCTTTTTTTTAATCATGTACTTAATGTACCTATGCTCTCATTGTATCAATAAGAGCCTAAATATCCCATTGCCAATAAGATTTGCATTGATTTGACAATCCAATGAATGGTTGGTGTATAAAGGAGATTGATTGCCCATATGTTTCACTTTTATTTTTCTGTGTCAAATATGTATGAACGGTATTATAGCCTGCATTGAGTATTATCTGAAATATAAACGTAATGTGTAACAGAACTTGGGGGTTATTGGGAAATTAAATGTCAATATTGTTGAGAAAATAAATGTTGATATGTATGAAAGCAATGATGAGATAATATTGATACTGATATTAGTTTTTTTTAATAATGAAATAATAAGGCTTTTAATAAAAAGGCAAAACTAACACTAAAGTATACATTTACCAAACAAACTATGACTCAGGAAATTATGAGAACACTAAATCTCAATATGTCACATTAAATACATTCTGAATTATTATCACATATATTATTCACTTATTTATTTCTCTAACTTATGTATACCTATCACCAGTTCAAAATGAATCCAGTGCATCCAAAGGTTGCCTGCAAGCAATAAGGCCTTTGTAATGTACAGCAGTTCATCAGTTGTTAATTACTTTATAATGTCTGTAAAACCCTGGTGTACAAGTATTATCTATCCATCTATTATTTAAACAATTTATTTTAAAACAATGTTCATTTGTATTCAACCATTAATGGTTTATTTTATATAATGGCTACATTTAACTTAAAATGGAAACAATCATTGATTCTAGTTTTGATCCTTGTAAGATTTAATTTCAAATCCCAAGTTTCTATTAAAGAGATTCAGGGTCCAAAAGTCACATAAAAATAAAATTTACTTTTAAAAAATGAGGCTCATGTCTTAAAGTGAATGAATGGGCATTTTCTTGTGATAAGAACCTTCCGTGTGCCTTAACGAAAATATAAAGAAGAGAAGCTGAATTTATGAGGCCCATCTCGAGTTTTGTGCTTAACAACACATTTGGCTATTCTTTTTAAGGTTCCGTACCTCAAAAGGTAAAATAGGAACCCTTATAAGATCACTTTCTTGTCCATCTGTCCGTGTGTCACCACCAATTTTCTCAGGAACGAGGGTTCTTTTTTAAATTTTCTTAGAAGCTAGCAAGTTGAAATTTATACCAGTTACTGAGGTCTATGGTCCCTATTAGGTGAATAAAAATCAAGGTCCTGAGTCAACACGATAAAAAGATATGGGCAAAATTTAGATTTTCGCGAAAACTTTTAAGTACTAAAATTTACCTTAATATTCAAAAATTTTTATTTTTCAGAATTTTCTCTTTACTAGTGCTGTAAGACCTTGCTTTTAACCAAAATTGACAATTCTATGTCAACCAGAAGCTTATATAAGCATAAGCTATAGGTTTTGGGTCGAAAACCTATATGGTAGTTCCCGTTGACCTAGAATCACGAAATTTGGCAAAAAGAAACGTCTTACAGCACAAATAAAGATTTATTTCCAAAAAATAAAAAAGTTGAAAATAAATAAATAATAAATTTTGGTACTTACAAATTTTCGCGAAAATCTGGGTAGGTACGGACACCTCGGCGCACGAGTTTTTTATTTACATATATCAGTCATCAATATAGACATTTAGAGGTACTTATACCATATTTCTTTCCCCAGACGCAAGTTCAAGAAGGGCCAAGAGGAAGAACAGGCCAAGAAACGTACACGAAGAACGCAGAAGTATCAGCGAGCCATTGTTGGTGCATCACTCAGTGACATCATGGCTAAGCGTAACATGAAGCCTGAAGTGCGCAAAGCACAGAGGGAACAAGCTATCAAGTTAGTATCAGTCAAGTACTATTAAAATTAGGTTATTTTACCGTAATAAAAGGTTTAGACTAAAATAATTACGTGAACACAAAAACTGAAAGTAAGTTCTATGTTTAACCATTTCCAAAGGTAGAAGAATTGGTGCCCACTTTGGTAAATTCTCTTTTACATATTGGAGAATAAGGTTGACTGGAAGAGAATGCCTTAGGCATTAAATCCGCTGATGTACAAAAGTGCACAAAATTTGAAATAAATACCTCTTGCCAGACACAAAACAACCAGATCTGACTTTTTATAATCTTAAAATGCAATGCACTCGGCACATTTTTGCTTTTTACTTCTAAGTCTTACAATTACTCCATTTGCAATATTAAGGAAAATACAGTCTATATAGAGAATTATTTTGAGTCACATATTTAGTTTTGACTGATAATTGGTCAATTTGTCATACAAATAACAATCGTCATATTTTAAAGCAAGTAAATTTAGGTAAACACTTTGTGCAATTCATCTATACTTTCTATAAAAATAAATAAAATTGAAGTGTCTGTTCATTACAAAATGTCATAATAATAGGTTTATTTCATGCTCATTCGGTTATTTGCATGATACATATGCCTTTTTTTTTTCGTGCGGAAATTCCCTCGGATACCACCCATCGGTGGCATGTCGGACTCGAACCGACTAAAACCGCACGCCGTCTCTGGTACTAATAGCCGGGGAACCAGGTATATCCTAGAAAAGAAGTCCCTGGTGCCCCGACATACCTCGGGCCATCTACAACAACAGGTAGACGACCCCCCCCGTGTTCCCTCTGCTCCCTGGAAGCGAGCGCGCTTCGCAACGCGCTCGCCGCCACCCCGGCCTGCTTCTGCTAGGGTGACAGATGGCCTCACCTGTTACCCCCAGGCCTGCGCTTATGGAGGACGGAGGTCGTTCTGCGATGATACATATGCCTAAAAACCAGTTTTAATATTTTTGTGTATTTGTTCTGGGATTTTGATATTTTACTACCAGGTAGCTGTCTGTATAATGAGTCATCATCATCATCAACAGCCTTTAATGTTAGTATAATGAGTGACTTAGTCTATTTTTTTTTCAGAAAACCCATATAAAATTTTGCCCGGTATAAAATTCCAATGATTTTTGCCTCGGAATGATTGTCTGAATTAGACATGGTACAAAATCACAGTGAACTGTGATTTTTCATTCGATTTTTGCGTATGTAGGTTAGGGTTGCTAGGTAGGTAGGTTAGACGCTATTTAACAGTAAATCTAGTATTTTTCAAAATTATTATGTAGGGAATGGTAGCTATATATAATTATTAAAATAACTACCTAAATAAAGTTCTTGGTATGTATTCAAAAAATAAATACCAATGTAAAAATATACTCAAAGAATTTCTACTTAAATTAGATTATCGTAACACTGAGGATCTTCTGCTGGGACGCTTGAAATAGTAAATTATACACATACACACATGATCACGCTTAAATATATACACGCACATACACTCCTGCGCGTACAAAACCACACATACATAAACTCGAACACACATTAGTACACACACACAGCAACTAACCCTTTTCCTTACTATTTTCTTAAATGTTATTGTTCTTTTTTGTTTTTTGATCTCAACATATGTATATGGCTTTGTATTTTATCAAAAACAAACAACAGGGGCACTGATTTCTAAAATACAGGTACTAAACCTAGTTTAGAGATCAGCGTTTACTATCAGTAGTACATAATTTATATGAACCTCATTTCTGTTTTATAATATGTAACTTTATTGAGTAATAAAAACATTATTAAAATAATTACTATATTTACTGTTAAATATGCCAAATAGGGTCATTATGCATCGTCTGAAAAGAGCTTATAGGCAACAACGCGTGAGCAACTAATAACCCTAACCTACGTACGAAAAAATCAAATGAAAAATCACCGGTCTTTTAGAGATCACTTTGATATTGTCCCATGCCTATTCTGAATACACTATTTCAGTATTAGTTACGACGTCCCTTACACTTTGTATAATAATCAATTTTTTATTATATTAAATGAAATGTGAACAAATAATTTATTAAACATTCTGTAATCAGAGGTAAAGTAGCTTAGTAGTGAATGCTATCCGTTCGCTGTCGTTAGTTTCTCTACCCATGGCACACTTGGTTTTTCGACATTTGTAGTGTCTTTTTTTTTTTTTTAAAGACAACTCCCGCGTTAGGAATAAATCCTGTGCCGCGGGACACCTTACAAACATACATGAAACGGACACAAAGAACACCCAGACTCAGAACAACAATTTGTGGATCACACAAAGTGTCGTCCCATGTGGGGTTTGAACCCACAATACTCGGCGTAGTAGGAAGCGGCGTGGCGACCGCTTAAACCACTACGCCATCCGTGCAGTCAAAATAAAAATTGTTACCGAAGCAAAATATCCGCATTTCTCTTCCTAGCAAAGTGTCCTCAAAGCCAATTCTCGTAATAAAAGTTCGGTCTCAATTCAGTTTTGATTTCATAACTGTCATAAAGGTATTTTCGTAGTAAAATAGTAAAGTATTACTAAGACTAACAGATTACCGATTCGTTTTCGGTTAAAATACGATAAAATCACATTAGATTCAACGTTGGATGTTAAAAACTTTACTACGAAAATATCTTTAATGACAGTTGTGAGATCGAAAGTTGATCGGAACTGAATTGAGACCGAACTTTTATTACGAGAATTGGCCTTCTTGATTTACTAAGCATATTTGAATAACAAATGTAAATTTTGTCATTTTAAAAATAGAATTGTAAACATACTCTTTACTCAAGTATAAACTTCCATAAATTACCCATTGAATAGCATGGGTTATATATTTTTTGCATTGTTTCAGAGCTGCAAAGGATCAGAAGAAATCTACAAAGGCGGCCAAGAAGACCACAGCGCCCCCAACCAAGGCCAAGGCACAACCTAAAGCTAAGGCCGCTAAAGTCAGTCAAAAGTCAGCCCCCAGAGTAGGAGGCAAACGATAAGATCCTTAAATAAATACTGATTTTATAAGCTACAAACTTTTTTCTTTTAACCTAACCTAGCCGTTGCGGGTGACATCATCATCTATAATCTATACAAATAAATAAAATTGGGGTATCTGTTTGTAATATTAAAATAACCGCTTTTTACTAAGTGCATATGTATGTTTACACGGTACATATGCCAAAATAACATTTCTTACAATTTTTGTCTGTCTGTTTGTTCCGGGTAATCTCTGGAACGGCTAAACCGAATTCGACGGCAGATAGCTGATGACATGAGTAACTTAGGCTAATTTTTTTAGACTAGCTTCGCCCCACGGCGTTGCCCGCGGTTATAACAACAAACGCGGGCAACGCCGCGGGTCTCAGCTAGTTTTAATAATAAAAAAAGCCGTCGTGAAACGTCTGAAACATCGAAATAATGAGTATAAAAGGATATAGGTTTTGAAAGGAAATAATAAAAGCACGAATAGAAATATCGCACCCTCAGTAACATAAGGGGAGTCAAGTCAACATTTTAATGCTAAGGGCACAAAATAAAATTCTCCACCGGTTAGCACTGACAGAGAAAGAAAAAGTAAAATAATGACTTGGTATATATTTGTGCCTTTTCAAGCTCGTCTCCTGTTCTTAATGCTACAAGGTCAAAAGCAGTAACGTGTCCATATTAGTAAGAGCCGACTAAGGGAGAAAACTACGCAGAACAACAGCACTGCAGAGAGACAGCACTCCGATGTCTGCAGTGAGGGCCCGGCGCTGCGCCGCCCATGCGGGGCAGACCGCCAGCGTGTGCTGGGCCGAGTCCTCACTGCAGTCGCAGTGGTGGCAGGCGGGACTCAGTTGCGACCGAGTGCAGGTACTCTCCGAAGCAACCGTGCCCGGAAAGCACCTGCGTCAGCCGGAAGGAAAGGGTCCCGTGCTGCCGCCCTGCCCACTCGGCGATGACCGGCTGGAGACTCCACGCGCTGGCTTCGCCGCCGTGGAGGCTCCAGCCGGAACGACCAACGAGCCATCGTGGCTCGGCGAGCGGCTTCGCGCCACTCGCGCACATCCTCGGGCGGAGGGCGAAATCCGCTCTCCGCCCGGGAGTCAGCCACTCGCCGATAAACTTCGGCGAGCACTTCCGCCTCCAAATCCCACGGGGGAGTTCCGGCCAACGCGCATGCCACCTCCGTCGAAACGGTGCGGTAACCGCGTATGGCTCTGACCGCCATTACCCTCTGAGGGCGCCAGAGGCGTACCCTATTCTGGGCGGTCAGAGCCGCCGCCCACACCGGTGCACCGTACAGTGCCATTGACCGGACAACCCCCGTGTACAGCCGTCTTGTCGCGACGCTGGGTCCACCCATATTGGGCAAAAGTCGCCCTAGGGCAGACGCAGCGCCGACCAGCTTTAGAGCAAGCTGTCGGAAGTGCTCGTCGAAGAGCCACCTCCCGTCGAGGATCAGGCCCAGATATTTCATCTGGGCCCGAACCGGTACGAGGACCGAGTTGACCACGATTGAGGCGCCAGGGGGTGGACCACGACGGGGCCCACGAAATAACAGGGCCTCCGTCTTATCTGGGGCCACCCGTAAGCCCAGCGCCTCAATGCGCCCGACCACCAGGGAGACTCCCCCTGTGGCCAGGCGCGCCGCCTCTTGGAAGTTTGCCCCCCGGGCTGTCACCAGGGTATCGTCTGCGTAACAGATTACACCCAGCCCGGGGGGGAAATCGGCGCGAAGGGCCCAGTCGTACCCTATGTTCCACAAGAGGGGTCCAAGAACAGACCCCTGTGGAACACCGCACGACATGGGCCGACACCTCAAATTACCTTCTCGGTCCTCGTACACGACGGTACGCTCCTCTAAATAGTCTGCCACTAGCCGCCTCAGGTACTTTGGCGCCCCATGATAGTGGAGTGCTTCCCTGATGCAGCTGAATGGCAGACTATTGAATGCGTTGGCGATGTCTAATGACACCGCCAACAGCACGCCGCCACAGCTCACGGCCTCTTCGGTCACGGCCCTCAGGCGCAACACGGCGTCGACTATCGAACGCCCCGCCCGAAAACCAAATTGGGCGTCCGACAGATCGGGGCCCACCTCGCAGAGGTGCCGGACGATGCGGGCAGAAAGAACCCTCTCAAACAATTTACCCGCCTCGTCCAGCAGGGCACGATGGGCCTATAGGCCGCGACCGAATCGGCAGGCCGTCCCGGCTTCCTTAATAGGACCAGCTTCCCGCTCTTCCAGCACTCAGGGAAGCGTCCCGACGCCAAGCTAGCGTCGAACACCTCCCCGAGGCGGTCTGCCATGTGGTTGAGGGGCAAACCCGATTTGCCGAAAGCCGATTTGTAAACGGGGTATTTTCAATTAGTGATTGATTACACTCTGGTCATTATTATAATCGGCTGAAACCCTTATTTTCTTGTATACCTGGTAGTACAGTGGAAGATAAATCTTAACTGCTGTACCCAAAACCCGATAAAATTAAACATGTTTTATGGAAATAATAATGAAAATATCTAAATATTTCGACATTTTCATTATTATTAATATCAGTAATAATCATTAATTATTTTAATAATCATTTTTCTCTTTTTTATTTATTTAACGAAGTGGTGTAAAAAATATAGTAATTTGGTGTCATTAATTAAAATCAATTACACAATAACACTAGATGCATTTTTTTTTTACATTAGGTGTCTATGCGCGTTAGATAATACAATACTGAGAGAGTGGGGTGTCTAATTTTGTCGGGTTATACAGCCAGGGGTACAGCGGTTAAAATTTATCTTCCACTGTACCACCAGGGGAACAGCCAAGGGTACACAGGAAAAAGACGGGGCTAAAATGAGCTCCATTTATGAATTCAGTAACAAATAGAATACGAGGGAATTCTGAAACATACTTTCTCTTGCTTTTTCTGCAACCTATGGGCGTGATCTTGTGAAAAGCGATGGAAGGCGTGGCAGGGTGACGGGGAAGCGCATTATAGGGGATATGTCAGATGTGATGTGACACGTCATAGGAACCTATGCAACAACTGTATCGCCCGAGTTTTTGACGAGATTTTATAATGCTGTCCTGGAGAAATCGAAGGAATATTTCGAATGTAAATTCACGCCTATAGTGATTTTATGCAAGGGCGCACTGCACTGCTTTTTAAAAATGAAAAATGGAAACCTTAAACTGTCACAAGACTATTTTTTCAGATAAGCGTGGAATTATCCATTCACATCAGAATGATTTTTTTTAACCCACTGAAGTCGATCAATATGTACTTGAGCTGGTAAAAAATACTCTTTCATTCATAACAATAAAAAAATTGGAAATTAGGTTACGCGCAGCGAAGGTGACGGTTCAGTACAAATTTGCATGTAGGTTTACATACAAGTTTGTACGGAACCCTCTCTCACTTATCCAGTTCTTTATTTATGATACGAGTTATGTTCTACTTGCGCACTTACTTTCTACCGGATATACTCAATCTATAAAAATAAATAAAATTGAAGTGTTTGTAATGTCAAAATAATAGGTTTTTTTAATGCTCACACGGTTATTTACAGGATCATCATCATCAACAGCCTTTACTAGTCCACAGCTGGACATAAGCCTCTCCTTAGAAAGGAGGTTTTGGCCTACTATACCACGCTGGCCAGACGGATTGGTATAGGGTTTGTGTCAAGTTTTCCTTCTTTCAACAGTGCTGTTGTCCTGCTTAGTTTGGTCCCTTAGTCGCTTCTTACGACACCCACGGGATGAATAGGGGTGGTGACACACTGTATTCTTAATCCGTCACCACACGGACTACACTGTATATCTATGCCTAAAAACCAGTTTAAATATTTTTTTGTCTGTCTGTTCTTTTCGGGTAGTCTTCTAAACGGCTGCACCGATTCTGACAATATTTTACTACTAAGTAGCTGTCTATATAAGGAGTAACTTATATTTTTCCCCTCAGAATAAAACCCTAACCCTATAAAATTTTGCCCGGTCCGGGATCGAACCCACCAAGGTAGCGCTTTTATAATTCCACGCGAACGAAGTCGCGGGTACCAGCTAGTTATTAATATTTTACAAGTAAGGTACCTTCATCTTAGTTCGGCGCAGTCACTTATTATCAAATAAGTGCCGGTTTCTTTAGCTTTATCGCCTAAAGATGTTTGATTAGGCTGATTGTGTTGAGCCAAGATAGAATATCAACTATATAACGACTCCAAGAAGTAGACTTTTTAAAATTTGAATTCAGAAATATAATCATCATCATCAGCCTATCGCAGTCCACTGCTGGACATAGGCCTCTCCCATTGCACGCCACTTAGTTAGGTAAATATTATTACGACATTCAAGACAAATCATATGTATTTTACATTTTAAATTATTCAGTGTTTGTTTGATAGGCGCTCAAAGTAAAATGAAGCATGTGATTTTTCTAGAAAATTGTACAATTATCAGTTGTTGTTTTTATTGGATTTTAAAACAAACCCTATTTTTCACTTGTATGCCAATTTTCATAATTACAGATTTAGAATTAAAAAACTTATGTTAAAAAAATAACAATTATTTGAAGTTCAATAGTACACTCTACCACAAAGCCATTAACCAAAAGTTGAAGTTGAAGTTCAATAAATGTCAGATCTGACACTATTCTATGACTATGACAAAATAAAAAATAAGAAAAACAAATTTTGAGTATCACTATAGTTTAACAAATCATTTATTAAGGAATTGTAAAATAATAATAAATAATAATATTTCATAATTTAAAAATTTATTTTATTACTGATACAGAATGTTTATCTACAATGTCTGCCTTCCCTTACATAATGCATTCTATAGGCATAAGCAATAACTTATTTAGTTATATATTAGTGGAAACATTAACAACTAATATTCTTAAGACTTGGCTAAGGTGTCAGCCTTTGCAACAACCTCCTCAATGGGTCCAACCATGTAGAATGCTACTTCAGGCAGGTGGTCATATTCACCCTGTAGGATCTGTGTGAAGCCCTTAATTGTCTCCTCAAGAGGAACTAACTTGCCAGCATGTCCAGTGAACACTTCAGCAACCTGGAAAGGCTGCGACAGGAACCTCTGGATCTTACGGGCACGAGCTACAGTCAGCTTGTCTTCTTCAGACAATTCATCCATACCCAGGATAGCAATGATGTCCTGCAGGGACTTGTAGTCCTGAAGAATCTTCTGAACACCACGGGCCACATTGTAATGTTCAGCTCCAATAATGTTGGGGTCCATAATACGGGAGGTTGAGTCAAGAGGGTCCACAGCAGGGTAGATACCAAGCTCAGCAATAGCACGAGATAATACAGTTGTGGCGTCCAAGTGGGCAAAAGTGGTAGCAGGGGCAGGGTCAGTCAAGTCATCAGCAGGTACATAGATGGCTTGCACGGAGGTGATGGAACCTTTCTTGGTGGTGGTAATACGCTCCTGCATAGTACCCATGTCAGTGGCTAAGGTAGGTTGGTAACCTACAGCAGAGGGGATACGACCCAATAAAGCAGACACCTCAGAACCAGCCTGGGTGAAACGGAAAATGTTGTCAATGAACAGCAACACATCCTGTCCTTCCTGGTCACGGAAATATTCAGCCACAGTCAAACCAGTAAGAGCGACACGAGCACGGGCGCCAGGGGGCTCGTTCATCTGACCGTACACAAGCGCTACCTTAGAGGTCTTGTCTTTCAGGGAGATGACACCAGATTCAATCATTTCATGATATAAATCGTTTCCTTCACGAGTGCGCTCACCTACTCCCGCGAACACGGAATAACCACCATGGGCCTTGGCGACGTTGTTGATCAGCTCCATAATGAGTACGGTTTTGCCGACTCCAGCACCACCAAATAGACCGATCTTACCTCCCTTAGCGTAGGGAGCGAGCAAATCGACGACCTTGATACCGGTGACAAGAATTTCTTGCTGTACGGACATCTCTACGAATTCTGGAGCTTCAGCGTGAATGGCAGCGGTCTTGTCGGTTGGGATGGGGCCGCGTTCGTCGATGGGCTCACCGATGACATTGATGATACGCCCGAGGGTTTCTGCGCCTACTGGGATTCGGATAGGTGACCCTGAGTCCAATACAGGCTGTCCGCGCACCAGACCCTCGGTACCGTCCATAGCGATGGTACGGACGGTGTTCTCACCCAAGTGTTGGGCCACCTCCAGCACAAGCCGGGGTGAGCGGTTCTGTACTTCCAAAGCATTTAGAATAGGGGGAAGGTTATCGTCGAACTGCACGTCTACGACGGCACCAATTACAGCAACCACCTTACCTGAACCCTTGGCCACAGGTTTCGCCGCATAATCACGTTTATTCACCAGGGGTGCAGCAGCTAAAGGTGCCTTGTCGGAGGTATTATTGACTACCGTCCTTGTGGCCAATCGGCCAGCTCTGCAGACGGTAGAAAACATTTTCGTACGTATCGATCGAATAAATGCACAGTAGATGATCGGAGAGGTCACCAAAGAGGTTCGAATTCTTTACGTAACAATTCGACGTTCGGATATCTGCACAGAATGATTACGACATTACTGGATGGATTCCGTATCCGGATGTACAGATAATTAACGACAGTTGAAATGCTCGATAGTCTTACTAATCTGTTTTTCCGTGTTTATTTAAATATTATAGATAAAGTAAATGTTAATTCTAAATTGTTGGTTGTTGGAATATTGAAATAAGTATTAGCTAAATAATTAATTATCTAGGCGAGGTAAATGTTACAACTAATTTTATATTTGTATCTTCTTCTCCTGCGAAGTTATGGACGTTTGTGTGTTAGCTGGATCTCTGAAACGGGTAAGTGGATTCTAACCAGCTTTTGTACAAAACTTCTTAAGAAGTTAAACATTTTTCTGTTAATGCCACTTAATATTGGACCTATTTTCGTGGTGCCTGAATCTAAGGCGTAATCTTTACTTTAACTTAGCTAAAAACTAAACTTCATCAATGATAACATAAGAAAGCACAGACATTTTTTTTCACAAATAAACTTTTACTCGTTTAGTATCTTCTTATAAATATTATGAAATAGAAAATAATTGTAGAGTAAAAAAATAATTAATAAAGTATTTTTAGCTTGGCTTAAACCATGTCCATAGAGAAAAGGTGAGTGTTTGGGATTCCAGCTTCCTTTTGCTCTTCCAAGCAAATGTACGTTAAAGTAAAAAGGAAACCGTAGACTAATAATGAACTCGAAGCATTAAACACCGGAAAGTAAATAATAATTTATGACCACGGTTTATTATAGACTTATTTACTGTACCAGAGAGTGAAGGAAGGCCTCGTCCCAAGTTTTGTATTGCAATAGTCTCCTATTGCCCAAGACCCTCACAATTTAACGACTTGCAAAGCTTTAGTTGATTCGATCCCGAACGTCAATACCTATTTTCTCAGAAGTTGAATAAAATTGGTAGTGTAGAGGTGGTGTTTTAGTAAATAATAATAAACTCACACATCTCACACACGCAATTCTGATCCCAAATTAGGTATGCGCCTGAGTGTTTCTGTTATCTCTGTTTCGTAGGGAATCAGATTTAGAACAGGCGGTAAACACGAGAAGGATTACACCCAGACTTGCCATGGGGATCTACACGACTGTTGCGCTCTCGTTAGGTTAGGGTAACCTCATGCTGCCCATAAGCTGTTTTCAGAAGACGCATAAAGGTATATTTCACCTATTTAACAGTAAATCTAGTATGTATTTGATTATATATAGCTACCATTCCCTACAAAATAATTTAAAAAATACTAAATTTATTGTTAAATAGCGTCTAACTTACCTACCTAGCAAACCTAATCTACGTATGCAAAAATCAAATGATAAATCACAGTTCATCACTGTGATTTTGTCCCATGTCTTCCGAAGTCATTATTTTATCGTCATCCAGGGTTGTTAGACTTACCAATTTCTTGGTGTAAGTATCAGTTTTCAGGGGGGTCATGTACCAACTTAATATTGTGTTGGTACGCAATAATACCAATTTCTACGTTGATCATACATAAAAAAAACTTGTATCTAACAATATATAAGTTTTTACTTCATTTTGTCTCCCGCTTTGCTAAGGAGGGAAGTGGATTTACTGTATTTCCAACTCCTCCAATTTTCTTCTGATTAATTTCGTTGCGGGTACCAAGACAGTTTAATTTCTTCCTGGGACTTCCCGAGTGTCATAACTCGGTGTGTTCGTGGGTCACTGCTGTGGATCCTGGTGTACAGGAGTTACAGTGGTGGGCGTGTGGGTGTGATTAGTCCCAAAAAAAAAAATATATATATAAGTTCTTGTCGTAACTTGTAACTTACTTCAGATAATGTTATCAATTGAGCGAATTATCCTCGGATGTCGGGTATGAAATTGACAGAAAATAATGCAATACAAGAGAGCATTTTAGCGACATCTGTACCAGCTTTTGCTCACCACACTCCACAGTCTATTGTATGTCATCTGTCATTTGGTGTGAGGCCTCCCTGCTGGAGCAACAGAAAGAAGAACGTGGTTTTTGTGATATATTTTTGTTGCTTTATTAGTAAATAACTTATTTAAAAAAGTGAAAAACTAATCTAAAATGGAATATATAACACCCGAAACACCTGTTGAGTCTGTAAATAGTGCACGAATGTAAGTAAAAATTTTTTTGGTTACATGTTTATTTGCATCATTAATAATAACTTAATTATTAAGTTTCGTTCATATGTTGACATTACAGGGAAACAACGTTGCTTAAAAAATCAAATATAAACTTCGTATAAAAGATATGTTTAATTTTCGAAGAGATACTACCCAAACATACATTTTACACAATGTTTTGTAAACCCCTATATCAAGTGTTTTTATGGTTTTAGATTATGCTGTCGTTGTTCAGCAATTATTGAACCCAATCCATCTAACATGTGTGGACCATGTTGGCACACCCGTGTTGATCTTGCAGATGGAATAATCAAACAAGGTACACTGTTCTTCTGCCGGGGATGTGAAAGGTAATGTATGCTTTAATTTGTTGTTCTTTATATTACACTCTCAAAATTTTATAAATCACTAGCAGGGCAAGCCTATAGCCATTAGATAGGCATATGTATAAATTCAAATAAATACATATATCTATATATTTACACATTATAGATAAATTACACCCAGAAATAGAACAAACGATCATGCTTATTACACAATATTTGCACAATATGGGAATCAAACTCAAGAATTCTGACTTAATAGTCGAGATCACTAGACCAAGAAGCAACTTTAATCTGTTAATTTTCTATTAGTTCTTATGGTTGGTAAAAGTAACCATTGAGGTTACATGGGATTAAAAACCTTTGTGATTGGTTTTAGAATTTGAACATGACTTTGCACTGTGTATTCGGATATGTTAAATAAGTTTCTGCCCTTATTGCGACTTTTATCAATGGGTTCAGCTATCATCCGCATGGATATTACGTAGACATTTCTTGTTATAAAAATTTGTTCAAATGCATTTCGTTACGTCATAAAAAGTCTTCTCATAGTAAATTATTAAACATCTAAGATTGACTGTAATGTGATCATATCATATTTCTCCTAGTCTTATTAACACTTTACTACGAGAATAAGTTTTATTACACTTGTGAGATTCAGAGTAGATCGGAACTGAGTTTTGAATGAATTTTTATTACGAGTATTGGTTTGGGGTAATGGTTACCTTTAGGTGCTACTAGCCTGCTCAAGAAATAGTTGTCCATTTCTGAAATACACATGTCACTAATATTTTATGTGTGAAAGAAATACTATCTAATTATGTAATATATTAATTTTAAAACAGATATCTGCAACCTCCTTCGGAATGGGTTGTGGCACCGTTGGAGTCCAGAGAACTGTTGGCACTCTGTCTTAAAAAAATAAAGGGCCTGAATAGGGTCAAACTTGTTGATGCTGGTTTTGTATATACTGAACCACATTCTAAGAGAATAAAGGTAATGATTACTAATTATTTGTGCTTTTCACCGGGTCAATGAGGTTACCAAATCCCCAAGCCCCCTCTCCTTCATTCTCTGGACAAAGGGGGCAAAATAATAATCCAGTGGTTCAAAATACAAAAAATACTTATGTCCTCCCTTTTCTGAAGTTGGTTAAAAAATCATAAATAAAACAATACAATTAATTTCATCATATTTGATTGGCATTAGCACAATTCATGATTTTGTGATCAACATTGTGAAGGTATTTATAACTTCACTTCCTACCCTTTGCCCTACCTATTCTTAACTCAGAACCCTTGACCTTATTACTTACCCTATTTTAGCTTCCTTCTTTTGTCCTATCTGAAAAAGATATATTTTTAAAAATGATTTCTTGTGCATACAAGCCTTGCTAAGAGTTAAACTTTACCCCATATAAAAATAGGCTTGTGTCCACTAATAACAAATTGCTTGGTTTATAGTTTCGAATTATAAATGAAGAGACTTAGATAATAAAAAAACCAGTCTATTTCTCATAAAAGTTAAAGATTATTAATTTTTTTAACAAATAAATTTTGAACAAAATAATCATTAAGTCATGTGACAGCAAGCACCAATCTGAAAGTGTGACGTCACGCCACGCAAAACGTTGTTGTTGACGTTTTCATATAACAGAGCCGGTTTTATTGTTTTTCGTGTTTAGCATAATTTCTCACCTTAATGCAGTTTCAGTTGACACTGGACACAGATGTAAACAGTTTTGTTTCGCAGACTGTGACGTCATTCAAGACGCTATGACACTATTCAGCGTTTTCAAGGGAAATTTAAATTGTTTTTTTTTAAATACAAAATACGTAACGTAAATACTGCTTTTTCTTTAAAATATAGGTTTTTTTGGGATAAAATAGATATTAAAGTATATAATTAACCAAGTTTTGAGTCAACTAGCCTATTGTGAAGATGATCATGTTGTGACATACATGACATTATAAGTAATACATATATTTATTTTATTTAAACCTTTCAGGTAAAACTCACGATACAGGGTGAGGTTGGACTTAACACAGTCATGCAGCAAGTTATTGTTACGGAGTTCACTGTTCAAAACCAGATGTGTAGTGCTTGCCATCGTACCGAGGCTCAAGATTACTGGCGTGCGCTAGTACAAGTGAGGCAGAGGGCCAACAACAGGAAGACATTTTACTATTTGGAGCAGCTAATACTGAAGCATAAAGCTCATGAAAATACTCTTGGCATAAAACCGAAGCATGGTACAATATTTTTTTAATGCATTTTTTTTCTCATAATTAGAGGTGTTATTAACAATATGCTTATTTTAAACAGTGTCGATATTCTGCCACTTTGAACGGTATATTTTTGCATAGAAAATTTCAACTGTTCTTTTATTAATGATTCTGCCAACATTTAAGTGGAAGGTAGATTTATTAGTTAATAGGTTACCATTTATTGTGTAATGGCTTGCTAACTTTGTTTGAGTGGAATTTGAAAAGCGCAAAAAGGGCAAAATCTTAGAAAAAAAATAGCCTTAGTTACTCCTTGTATAGACAGCTACCTGGTAGTAAAATATTATGAAAATCGGTCTAGCCGTGTTGAAGAATACTCAAAACAAACAAACAGACGGACAGACAAAAACTGACCTTTTAAACTGGTTTTTAGGTATAGGTATCATGCAAATAACCATGTGAGCATTAAAAACCTATCATTTTGACATTACAAACAGACACTTTTATTTATTTGTAGAGATGCGGTGTCAGCCTATAATTAATTGTTATACCACCAAATAATAAATTGATAAATCGTAAACAATAGTTGGGTAAACTAAAATAAACAAATATAATTTTATTCACTACACTTCCCTTGATACTGTTCCCACTCCAGGCCTATTCTACAACAGCGGTTCTGTGGGCAATTTGGCTATCGACATTGCCACTTCAGCTTGCTAAGCTAAGCTTGTATTTAGTCAAGTGGATGGTAGATATACAACATTCATGTTGTTAACTCAATACTGCTTCAATGAACAAAATTGTTAATCTGCACGACATTTTTTTTTAAATGTTAGTCTTTACATGAAGAGGAATCTTGTTGATCTTATCCCATAATACTGTGTACAAAATCCTTTTTTTTATGTTTTTTGTGTCTTTTCTCTATATGTCTACATATAGAGAATAGAGATAATACCATAGAGAGAACAGGGGGTACAGCTGCCTGTAAGTGGAAGCGACACAGGCAACGAGCTGCCCGATATTTCCCTCTGTCTCTGTTTAGCTAAGCTGCAATTGGCTACTTATTAACTTCTCATATTCACCAGCCAACCACAGAGCTCGACTAGAAAGAGATACAGGGGACTATCTATTATCCATCTCTCTCATGGCCTATCTTGCCAGATCTCTTGATCTCTTGTTCTCTCTAGGTTATTATATACAATTTTAGGCTTTACAATAGGGAATATGCATGTATTTTTTTTATTTTTTTTCACGATTCTACTAGTTATTACATTACCAAAAATAAATATAACACATCCGAAATATAAACCGTTAAGCAAAATTTTTTTTATTAAAATCACTATCATTTTGGTGCAATTTGAACACCGCTTTTTTGTGACTTCAGATTACACTTTCAGACGAATTCGATGTCAACAACGGAGTGAAGTTCACAAAGTTTCTGAAAGTTAAAGAAGTGAGTGATAAAAATTAACTTATTACCATGGAAAGCCAATAAAAACTTAATATAAATATTGTGCTGTTCCTTTGTGCCCAAATAATATCAAAACTGCACCTGACAAAGTATATTCAGTCATTGTGTTGAGTCTTTCTACACGGGAATTTAATAATTTAACACTGAAAACGTATTAGTTATTAACTTAAAATGCAACAAATAATCACCAGAAACCAAATATTTCAAATACACACAACTTGTTGACACTCTTGACAGTGTAGGTTGATGTCACGTTTTATTCAACCAAGAGCGTTGCGTTTTAGAAATTTGCGAGGGAATCTTAAAAAAGTCAATTTTTGATGATTAAATTTCACTATTAAATTATAATAAATTTCAAAAATAATTATATAGGTATCATTTTTTAGGAATAAAAATTACAATTAAAAATATTTTGTCCATTTTAGTGTCACGTGCATATTCCCTATTAATAGTTATTTATTATTAATATTATTTTTTAATAAAAACAAAATGTAACCAGCATGTCCTAAAATTACAAGGATTTAGATATTTTTAGTTTATTTTAAGAACGTTAAAAATACAAATTTTGCATAATTTACAAAGAGTAGTGTAATAAGAAGAAAAAAATTCACTAATGAAACTAAAAATTTAATATATTTTATTTGTTTAACACAAAATTGTCTTATTTACTTCCAGATGGGTTAGATTTCTTCTACACATCCGAGAGTCACGCACGTAAGATGGTAGATTTTATTCAGTCCGTGTTACCAGTTAAATCACAGCATTCCAAGAAGCTTATATCCCATGATATCCACAGTAACATATATAACTATAAGTTTACATTCAGTATCGAGATTGTTCCATTGTCCAAGGACAGTGTTGTGTGCCTTCCTAAGAGGTTGACTCAACAACTTGGAGGGATATCTCCTATATGTTTGGTGCACAGGGTTACAAGTACCATACATTTGATTGACGCTAGCAGTGGCCAAGTCTGTGACATATCCTCAACTGTGTACTGGCGAAGTCCTTTCTCAGCTATATGTAATCCAAAGCAGTTAGTTGAGTATGTTGTAATGGACATTGATGTGTTAAAAGAACATGTAAGTACATTTACTTAAGGTACAATTTAGAAAAGCAAACTCAAAACGGCCTTTTCACTTTTATATTTTTTTTAGGAAAAGAAATCATTTCCTGGACAAGGCATGGTGTCAAATAAACATGTTATAGCAGATGTGTGGGTTGTTAAAGCTAGTGAACTTGGCTTAGATGTCAACCCTGTCCATACTAAGACACATCTTGGACATATTTTGAAACCTGGCGATACAGTTTTGGGGTAAGTGTTACCTTATAAAAAAATACAAACAAGTTTCCAACAGCTGTATGTATTCTTTACTTTTTATATAATCCACAAGCTTTCATTAAATAGAAATGAAAACACCTTGATAATAATAATATAATAATATATTTTACTACATTCACACAACGCCATCTAGTCCCAAACTAAGCAGAGCTTGTACTATGGGTACTAGACAACTGAATAAATACATATATACTTTTTGTTTGTAAATATATACATATTATACATAGAAACACCCAGACCAAATCAAAGATTAAATGTTCATGCACACAAATGTTTGACTTGAGCGGGAATCGAACCGCGACCTTTGGAAAAGCAGTCCGTTACACAAACCACTATGCCATCCGGTCGTCGAATACATACATTGATACATGACTCTCTGATCCTAAACTAGGCCGAGCCTGTGCTACGCTAACCAGACTGCTGATAAACATATTTATATATTTAGGGGGTAGGATTCAAAAAGCAGCACCACATTTGTCACTCTTGAGTTGTAGGTCTTTATGAACGGTGGTGGTTACTTACCATCAGATGACAAGAACACGTTGTCGTGCTCATCACAGTATAATTTGTCCTGGTCCACCACTAGGGTTTAGGATCCTGACCAACAGACCAGATAAATATATTATTATTATTACCTAGGTACAATATTAGCGATTCAAATGTGAACGATGCGAACTTTGACAAATTGGACCAAAGCGCCGTCCCAGATGTTTTCTTGGTTAAGAAGTACTACGGGGAAAAGTCGGCCCGGAGACGCGCACGCGCATGGAAACTTAAACACATGGCCGAGGAGTTACACGAGGGGCTCAGCTCCACCAATGAGTGAGTATTGTACTTTTAATTATCACATGATTTTTAAAGAAGCTAGCTAATTTTTAAACACTGTCAAATCCTCCCGATCCAAACACAATTTAAATATAATTTACTGAAAGAAAACTTTTTCACCAATACTTTTAACAAAAAAAAACACACGGTGTACATACAAGGGAAGCTGCTCGGAATATTGTGTGCGAAACCAGTCGAGCCACAACAAATAATATATACGGTGAAAGAACAATCGAATACTTAGTTCCCAGATTTATTAACAAACTACCCTCCGAATTGAGAGATATTCTGACGCCGGTGAACTTTAAATCTAAAGTACGGCCATTACTTTTTAATCAAAATTAATCATATCTATTTTATTTCTTGTTTTATCTGTTCGCTTTTTATTTATGAAATATTGTTTTATACTGTATTCAGAACTTTCTTATTATTATTCTTTTGTTATTACTTTTTTGAAATTTTTGTACCGATCGAGACTAACCCTTAGCATTCGTTATAAACCTTCGTGGCTTAGGAAATGCTATGTATATTAAAATTTTCTCATTAATATGTTTACACTTTGAAAGAATAAATAAAAAATAAAATAAAAATTACATCAGATTACTTATCTTATAAATTTGGTAATAATGTACTTAATACCTGAAGGTCAATTCTCGTAATAAAAATTCATTCCAAATTCAGTTTTGATCTACCCTTGATCTCACAAATGTCATCAAAGGTATTCTCGTAGTAAAGTATTAAACATCCAACGTTATCCATGTGGTGACGGATTAAGAATGTCACCACCCCCTATTCATCTCGTGGGTGTAGTAAGAGCCGACTAAGGGAGCAAACTGCACATGACAACAGCCCTGCAAAGAGAAGAAAACTTGACACAAGACCCATACAAACGCGTGTGCCCATCGTGGTATAGTAGGCCAAAACCTTTCTAAGGAGAGGCCTATGTCCAGCAGTGGACTAGTAAAGGCTGTTGATGATAATGTTGACTGTAATGTGATTATAACGTATTGTGACCGAAAGTTGAATCAGTATTCTATTGTCTTAGTAATACCCTACGAGAGTTTTGAAATAGAGAGAGTAGATTGGAACAGAACCAATTATACTATGAGAATTGACTTTCTGGTCAGTAGTACGAAGTATCTGTGATTTTAATGTAACTAGATAAAATTTCTTTGGTTTTCTTTTTTAAAAGACAATGCCCGTACTAGGATTATATTATTATAGTGTATCGCAGAGGACTTTACAAACTTTAATGAAACAGACACAAAGAACACCCAGATTTAGAATAACAATTTGTAGATCACACAAAGTGTTGTGGGGGTCGAACCGACAACACTCAGCGCAGTAGAAAGCGGCCAGGTGACCGCTTAAACCATAAGTGCAGTCAAATTGATACTAAAAACGCAGATTTTTTTTTTAAACAATAATAATTTGAAAATGTATGATGTTACTTATGCAGGTACTTCTCATTCTTCGTTACCCCCTAAGGGATACACAGAGGTGAATTAACGCCCACAGTGCCTATTATAACTTTAATCCAACTTATAATAGGAAGCAAGCCTATTTTAATCACCTGGCCATATTATATATATTAAATAAACTACATCCAGTCACATAACAAATGATTGTGCTCATCACACAATATTTGTGCTGGGTGGGCTCTGGCTTAGCTCGTTAACCACTAGACCAAAAACCTTATTCATGAATTACTATATGCATTGGTGACAATCTTATAAACATTGATTCAGTAATTTCGGAGTTCGGTGCAAAGACGACCAGACAGAAAGATACTCGAACTTATGAAATGGTATTAAATATTTGTTTTATACTTGACATAGTTCGCAATTATCGAGCACAACCATTATCGTCTGATATGAGTGATAGTGAAGATGATAGGTCATGAGATGGGGCGGTGAGTGGCGAGTGATGAACAAAGTGGCTGTCGCTCTATCTGCTGTTATCACTTATCACGAAGACGCTTAGTATATACAAATAGCTAATATATGGGGATTATCATGATAATTGTTGTTATAAAAATATTGAAATAACACTTCGTTAGCTTATCGTATGAATTAAATAAAATTGATAAATAAAACATTTGTGTTATATAATAATTACATTTACTATTTAACTCTTAACCGTGGGAGAGCAATGTTCAAGCACATATGGGGCGGCCCGATCAAAGTAATACCTCGGCCTTATAGAAAACCCGGTGTTTTTATCACAGCAACACTCGTTGCATTTCACCGAATGACTGAAGTTACTGGAGGACCAACCCCCCTTGCCAAATTAGGGGAGGGAGGGTTGGTAATCAAATTCCGGGACTCTTTGTCTCTTAAGTCGTAGGTGTCTATGGGAAGTAGTATATAATATGTCGCGAGAACTTTAATTGCTCAATATATATATTGAGATAATTAAGAATCAATACGTTACTACGTAATTCAGCTCGTCTGCGCTAGCTTTTGTTGGTAATAATCCCAATCTAACTCGTCCCTCGCCTTAGAGTGCGATGTCGTTGTTTAGTACTCAAATATATATTGACAAAATAGAAAGTAACACGAGTGAAGCCACGGGCAGAAGCAACCAATGTAGTGATTTAAACGGTCACCTGGCCGCTGCCTACTGCGCTGAGTGTTGTAGATTCGATCCCCACATGGGACAACACTTTATGTGAGTCACAAATTGTTCAGACAAACACATCAAAGACAAATTCATAGACAACAAATTAGCTAGTAAATCTAGCTTCACTCGCTTTAAAGCTATATTTTTCTTCCATCATAGAATATTTTGATTCTTGGATATCCTATAACAATTTCTGTATGGTTTTTATGCCGAATAAAGGAAATAACCCATGTTTACAAGTGTTAATGAAATAACATGACTGCACGGATGGCGTATTGGTTTAAGCGGTCGCCACGCCGCTTCCTACTACGCCGAGTGTTGTGGGTTCAAACCCCACATGGGACGACACTGTGTGATCCACAAATTGTTGTTCTGAGTCTAGGTGTTCTTTGTGTCCGTTTCATGTATGTTTGTAAAGTCCCCCGCGACACAGGATTTATTCCTAATGCGGGAGTTGTCTTTTAAAAAGAGATTACCCGCATCAATCAAGCCCCGTGTACCCAAACTTTTGTACGAAACGATAACTTCTTGGAATCTGATTGGTCAGGTGACGGGGCTTGTTTGATGCGTCACTATTTTCTTAAGGCGAATGGACCATAACGTTAAAGTATCCAGTTAAGCATGAGGCTCGTGTTAGACACCATATAAACCATTGTCTGCTATGATTACAGGGACTACAATGAATTCCTGGACGATTTGGAAGAAGACCCAACGTTCAGACAGAACGTCAACATATTTAAGGACGATAAAAAACTGGCTGTCGATACAGACGAGATCGATCCAATGCTACCTCGTATTACACTCGCAGAGATGCTGGACGATCTGTGCATAGATGATGTTCAGATGACTGAAGTGTAAAAGTTCACAGAATCCAACATTACGCTACTTACATATTTGTTGTATTTTTTTTTATTAAAGGCAATAAAGGTCTATCATACAAGTATTTACATAGATTGTTTGTTTTAATTCAACACCCACGAGAGAATGGAATCCGGGTCACATTAATATAAGTGAAATAAATTAACTCAACTTATCTTTATTTCATAAAATCATTAAAATCGTTTGAAATAGTTTTTTTTTTGTAGACTAAAGGCATAGATAGCTCAACATACACAATAGCAACAATATCTGTTTTGTCAATTATTTAGCAAAATAAATATAATTATTTTTTACTACATTCACACAACGCCATCTAGTCCCAAACTAAGCAGACCTTGTACTATGGGTAGGTACTAGACAACTGATGTAAATACATATATACTTTTTTTTGTAAATACATACATATTATACATAGAAACACCCAGACCAAAACATAAATGTTCATGCACACAAATGTTTGACTTGAGCGGGAATCGAACCCGCGACCTTTGCAATAGCAGTCCGTTACACAAACCACTACGCCATCCGGTCGTAAAATGATACCTATCGAAAATCTATTATACGTAGTATTATACCTCCGGTTTCCACGGGGTTGAGCCTTTGAGAAGAAAGCTTCTTAGAAGAGTGGCCGTGAGTCTGTTTGCTCAGATTTTCTTATTTATTTTTCCAAATATCTTTTTGATATCACCACTGATATTTATACCGATGCCAATGGCCACTCGATGGCATCTCAATAGCGTGTCAGTGGTAGGACAGTGGCTTGGCGTGAACATAAAATAGCAGAATTGAGGCCCAGGTTTACATAAAACCCTCGGTCTGCGACAGAAAATCTTGCACTCGCGTTTAGTTTTTGTCTCATAAAAGTGTTCTGAAAACTATCATCAGGTTTTTACGAGTAAACATACATTATTACGTAAGCAGCCTGTCATCTTGTAGATATAAATCTTGATGGATGCAGAATTATCAGGAACTGATAGTAATAAGTATGGTTGCCAAACCTATTTCGACATTGAGACTAAAACATTTTAACAGCCTTTAAATTCTTTTAACTGGCCATGTTTTCCCGCTTAATTACTGCATTATTTTAAAAAATTTAATACAGCGAGTGTATAAGGTATTAGAATTAAGTCATAAAGAAATCAGTAAAATATTAGTAAATGTGTTATCTGACTTCGACATCTGCAGATATGCATTGCTGCACTCTTGTGCACCTATTGGTGGAGATAACTTTGCTAAGCTGCCGATACGAGTCGTTGATATCATTCTTTCAACCAGTCTTATTTGGAATTCCAAGCTAGGGCAGGTAATTATCTAGTTGTCGTATATTTGTTGCAGAAACAAAGTAATTGTCCTACTGATTTTAATTCCGTACGTATCGACAATGACTGGTTTTATTGAAATCCGGGCAGTACGTAATCAGAGCATATTGTCGCTAGTTTTTATATTTTAAATGATATTATCAGCTCCAATTTTAGGATTAGAGAAAACACAACGCAACCGACATCCTATACGATTCTATGGTTTCAAACAATTAGTGATTAGACCCGCATCTTTGTAATCAGAATTAAATACTTCAATAACATTACGTGGGTGTGACACCACAATCTATATAAAGGCAAATCCCTCAGATATCTTTCAGTGCTAAAGAATTGAGCAAGCAAGATGAGGGTGTTCATATTTATGATAACGGTATTAGCTTCGGCTTTTGCAACACAACTGTTATCTTCAGGTGAACATTTTGTAAAATATTTATTATTGGAATGTCAAACGACACTAAGTCTTGTTTTGATAAATTTCAGTGTTAGTGAATACTATTGACTTCAAAAACATGTTGTGAATAGGCATAAATCTATGGATGTTTTAAGTATTTGTAGTGCAATGAAAACATGTTTTAGATCACTTAGAGGAGTTGTTTAGGAAATATGGAAGAAAGGAGTTGTCGACGACTGAAAGTCGTCAGTTCAGTGATGTCTTGGATATTCTTCGCAGACCTGAATATGCTTCATTTTTGTCTCTCGAAAAATCCTCACAACCAAGACTGGTAAGGGTTTATTTTGTGTTTTATACCTATTTTCGACAACGTTATCTAATAACCTTTAATCCAGTAAATCTTAGCCATAAAAAAACAGTAAGCAATATTAGGAAAGTAATTTTTAAAACATGCAAACAATACAGTATTTTAAAGGTACCAAGTGCCTTTATTAAGCCTTTATCTATTAAATTAAAAATGTAACTAATTACCTTTTTAAATTTTCAATATGTAGCTTTTAATGTTTTCTGTTTGCTTCTGATGTTTAATTCTTTTTTATAATTTAATTTTCCATTTTTATTCTAGAGGATGTACGTAATGTTTATGTTGTTTTTGCTTAGTGCATATCCGGTATTTAAAACATTACTTTCTGTAAAGTATGCAACCGAACTTCAATACGTTAAATTATAAATATAAACTTCAGTTTAATAAGTCCGATAGGTACTTTAGATAGGTAAGGTCATGCCCGCTGCTAGTTGTTTGCAATTACTTTTTTCCGTATTACCTTTCGGATATCCCCCACCTGACGACCGATGGGGTGGTTGTGTTGAACTCGAACCGTTTAAAACCGCATGCACTTTCTGGTAACAATAACCGGCGAACTACGTGTAATCTAGAAACGAAATCCCTGATACCCCGACGGATCCCGAGCCCTTTTACAGATGGCGCCATCGTGTGTGGTGACGGTGTCCTCTTCCTGCCTTTACTGTGTCCTGTCAACCCCAGGCCTTAAGGAGGACGGAGGTCGTTCAGCAACGTCCGATGCTTGAGCCTGCTTCCTCGGATACTAATGCAGCACTTGATTAATTTATAAAAAAACAGACAAGTCTGATTCGCCTCCGAATAGTTTCATAAAAACGTGTATGTAAATACGTCATTCATCTCGAGAAATAATTGCTTTCTATTTTGTGAAGTCGGTTAATAACGGTAAATGATCATAACTTCTAACGTTAATGGTGTTAACGTGCCTTTAATTTCTGAGAGTTTTCTCCCTTTTGTATCAGATGCTATTATCAGATGCGGACTTGGTGACAATGGGAGTTTTACTGCTGCATGTATTTTCATACAAAAATAATTTGATTTGCTGAAAAATGATTTGATTCATTTTGAAATCGGACCGTAGATTACGGAAATATCAGTGAAGTACCTTCTCCATTTTTGAACTCGCCCTGAAAACCCAAGTCTCACAGTCGTAACGCAGTTCCTCTACTGTAAAGAGTCATCAGTAGTGGATGTAATAACGTGCTGGATACGAAGTAGATTTGCCTAGCGTGATGCCGATACGGGTGTCCTTACTCATATTTTAACCTTCGCGCTTTTTTTCAATTATCATTTTAACATACATATAATTCATATTTGATTTGATTGTAAAGATGGTCAAATATCACCAAAAGATTGTTACTAATGATAATAATACAATAAAATTTCGGACATCTAACACACAACCCCATCTAGTTTCAAACTTTGCAGGGTTTGTATTGTGAAAACTAGATTGACTGATAGAATACTTATATCTATACTTTTTTTTTTGTAAATTCATACATACAATACATAGAAAACACCATAACTCCGAAACAAGTATTTGCAGATCATACAAAAATTGGATCGTACCCGGGAATCGAACTCTACGCTATACGCTACCACTGCACCAAGATTAATGACTTACTACATTAAGCATTAAAATACTTTTTTAACCGAAATAAATTTTGTTGTTGTGCTACAATATGTACCTAGTGTATTTGCCTAGTGTGAGTTTAGTTTACAAAAAAAACTAGCGATTGGTGAATAGTTTAGGCCAATCACAAAGCCGAAGCGGTCACCGTAACGATCGAGTGAAATAAACCTAAATCAGGCCCTCAGTTGGCGCTGACCGTGCTCACAGACTGACTCAGCATTTTAACTGAGTTCGTGGTATGTCTTTTTTGCAGACTCTCGATTGTTTGATATGTCGCTCTGGCTTTACTACGGTATTTTCGGCTGTAGAAGAAGGGCGCCCAGATGAAGAAGTTATCGACGTTGTTAAAACACTGTGCTACAATTTGGGTGTTGGTAGTTATAACATGTGTACCGGAATTGCTGAACTGAATATGGTATGTTTTCTTTGCCTTTTTACAAAAGGGGACTAGATCATTTCATTAATTTACCAAAGAGGATAGTTCCATTCCGTCCCACCACAACCGCAGATGTTCTTTATTCTTTATTCATCACAAGCAATTGCTACATTGTGTCGGATGTCTAATTTAATCTAATTTTGTATGTTTTTTGGAACACTGTTACTGGAAAAGTTACACGTTCTAAATCCAAAATGTTCTAACTTTACAAAGTATTCCTACTAAAAGGATATACCTAAATATATAAGTACCTTTATTAAAAGTCAACTAAATATTGGACAAAAAGGTGTAGATCGCCTTGCTATACATACAAAGGGAAGTTTCAATCATGGCTGTAAATATAATCTTTTATATCGTGTGCATACGGTTGCAGTCGAGGACGAGGGACTCTAATAAGAGGTACCATCATACTATTTACATAATGTACACTTCAGTGGCGTGTGATATTACCTCGGTGCCTTGAAGAGCACGGTTCCGATTGATAGGCGAACATCTGTGCAATCGGAACGGGTAGTTTGAGTCGTAAAAAGTCCGATAACAGTCTATCTACAGAACTCGAAGTTCTGTCGCGTAGTACTTGGGTTATGGTGGTCTAATAGCAGCCGCTCCACGTAAAAAATCGAACTTCAGCCGTGTCGTAGTGAACTGAAAGCCGACCCCAACCTATTTTGGGAAAAGGATAGGAGAATGATAATCGCGAGTTATATTACTTAAAACATATATTGTAAAAAAAAGGTAGCCCACTTGTAACCAACCTGTATTTTCTTGACATTAATTTTTGGTTACAATTTTATAGCCTATAATTACACACATCATTAGAACTACGCCCGAAGCCACGCCGAGAACATTTTGTGGACATATTTTTCAAAATGCAGAAAACTCAAATGCCTGTCAGGTTAATGACCCAAGATTTGAATGGACGATTGACCTACCACCACCACCAGCAACTACTCCTGTAAGTGAATTCACCATCAATTTGTATTTTTCTGCTCCCAATTTCCTATTTGCAGTTTATTGAATTATGTTTGTTAATTTACTTTATCGCAACTTGGGCAATTTGATTTCTGTTCAAAACGCTTGAAGGGGAGATTATTTCTGTCAAATTTTAAAGACTTCCTATGAATCGAGTCGCTAGATTGCCATGGTGAAGGAATTGGCAGTTGCTCTATAGGTAAGGCAATAATATAGGCTATATATAATATATACACATGTCACGTATGTCTGCATCCGTGGGAGGGTATGCAGAGAGTTACACACTTTGCTAAGCCACTTTGCACACATTTTGCCAACTAAAAAGTCACATTTACGTAAAAGAAGGTAAACTTACTGCCGTCAACCAGCCACTTTCCCAATCAAGTCTGAAAATTGGTAGTAAGTATTTCGAAATGGAGAAGTTGGTAAACTGGGAAGGTAACAGTTGGATCAGATTACAGTTACGTACCTAGTGTGGTGACGGATTAAGAATACAAATTGTCACCACCCCAATTCATCCCGTGGGTGTCGTAAGAGCCGACTAAGGGAGCAAACTAAGCAGGACAACAGCACTGCAAAGAGAAGGAAAACTTAAAACAAACCCTATACCAACCCATCTGGCCAGCGTGGTATAGTAGGCCAAAACCTCCTTTCTAAGGAGAGGCCTATGTCCAGCAGTGGACTAGTATAGGCTGTTGATGGACTGGAACTAGCTGACGGCGAAAAATCCGAAATGTCTAACTTATTTACTCTAACCACTAATATTCCACAGCCACCAGTCAATGATCCGACACCACTGAAAATTGCTCTGATTACGGATGCTCACATTGACCCTCTGTACGAAGCCTACGGCGTAGCTCAGTGCGTCGACCCAACTTGCTGCAGAAAAGGGCAAATCTTGGCACAGAACTCCGAAGAATTAAAAATAGACGATGAGTATATGGTTGAGGAAGCTGTTGTTGACGTGAATGGTGAGACCATGTTAAATTTAAGCGTTGCGCCGAACTTACGAGAAATAAGAAAATTAAGAAATTCTCCACAAATACAATTGCCAACTAAGAGTACCCCGGAACCTGCTGGATACTGGGGTGATTACAGAAACTGTGACACGCCGATATGGGCGTTTGACGATGTTATTGACAGAATCGCGGAGACACATAAGGTATGCTGATAAATTGTTCTATGATAGCAATGAATGTAATTAATGTTATCTCGTATTTATAGGCAAGAATGTCACCATGGGTAAGTGGTGACCTCGGCAACTACCAATCCGTCGAATGAGCTATGTTTGATCTTCGTATGGAATTATTTGTACGATGTTGCACATTAATTTCTTGGTATTCTTTCTTTGTTTTGAGTTTTATTAAAAATATTCAGTCAATTTAATATAGTAATTTTTATAGTAAAACAAAAATATCCGGTCTAAATATTCCTTTTAATCTGAAATCCAGTGATTTGTTCAATCGGAAACCTGTTTCATTTGCGTTTTCTGATCAGCAGAGGAAGCAAAGCAGTTTTCTGATAAGTAGAGAATTGTCATTTGTTTTGCAGGATATAGACTTGGTATATTATGTTGGAGACACGATTGACCACCACATTTGGGAAACAACATATGACTTAATCACTGAAATGAACGGGTATCTCATCAAAAAAATGAGATCAAGTTTTGGCGATCATGTCCCGATTGTAGCTACTATTGGAAATCATGAATCTCAACCCACAAACCAGTAAGTTCAGCTTAAACGATATTATAAACCAATGACGATATTCTGTAGTCAATAGAAAGGGAATTATCAAATACTCAGTTTTCTTCTTTGTTAGCAGTCTCTCATCCTTAAAAATAAGGCATCTTCGAGAACATTGAAGAGAATTGTTAGGTTAGGCAAGTCCTAATCAGGATTTAAAAGAAATATCTTTATCTTTGTCGAATCACCTCGGTTTAAAAGCACCTCCCTAAATGCCTGAGCTGCTATCGGAATCCTAGGCATCGACATATCGAGCGAATTCCAGTTTTGGGGTTACTTAGAGGGTAAGGGCCAATTAGCCTCGAAGAAGCACGGTGCGCTGATCAGATGGAGGCAGTATTTCACTTGGGCCCACCGCTTCCAACTCTATAAGGCCCAAATTCAGCCGCATATGGAATACTGTTCTCATCTCAATGCAGGGGGATTAAACGCAAACGAATAAGAGAAATACTATTATAATCTAATACCTTTAAACGATCAATTCTTGTATATTTTATATAATCTGAATCTCGGAAATGGCTCCAACGATTTAGTATGCAGGGGGTTTCGGGGGCGATTAATCGATCTAGCTAAGTTTCACTCTTAGAAAAGTTCTCAAAAAAAAACCCGTCATCCAGGTACTAACTATAATATTTAAACTAACACTGGACTGCGTATTTGTCTACTGTCTACTGTTTTTTTTTTAAATAAAAAAAAAAAATAAAATAAAAAATGTTAATGTTTTTTATTCAAATTTCAGGTTCGCGCCATCGACAGTCACAGAAGAAAATCTGAACACCACTTGGCTCTACCACAGCCTTGCTAAGAAATGGGACCACTACCTTACTGAAGACGCAAAAAAATCTTTAAGGGAGCGAGGAGAATTCTCTATGGTAGTGAGGCCTGGACTGAGAGTCATTTCCTTAAACACAAATGTAGCTTACAGATATAACTGGTATGTATTTTAAAATACTTCATTTAAAAACAATATACTCCATATTAGTTGAAATGTCTGATTTCAATATTTATTTTTGCAAATAGGAGACAAAACGACACTAAAGGTACTGTTTAGTGGGTGGGTAAAATCTCGGTAGGATCCCGTGACTTTTTGTAAATTGGCTTGTCTAGGGGTTGTTTTAGTCTTCGGATGGAAACTCGAGACACGTCGACATTCCTAATCTTTACTCGAAATACAACGAACTCCCGAAATAACAATATAATTTCTAAGATGTTCCCCTCAGTTTTAGAGTTTATTTTTTCTTGACATTCATTCATATCATGACTTGATATCAGGTAATATGATTACAGGGAATGTTTGGTAGATGATTAAAATCTCGGTAGGATCTCGGGACTTTTTATAATTTGGGTTGTTTCGGGTCTATTGAGGCTTTCAGACTCACAATGTTTATTCGAAATAACAATACAATGTCAAAAATGTTGATTTGGTTGTAGAGTTTATTTTTTTCTTGGTATTAATTTGATTCTAATTTAGTGTATACTAAGTGGTCTCGTAGTCCCGGGACGTAACGAGGTTTCAAACGTGTATATGTCGTTTCGTCTCTTAGACTCGAGATTTCCCAAACCCTAGTAAAAAGAAATGCAAAAAAAAACGTCTTTTTTCATAACTACTACGCCTATGAGTAATAAAATAAAATATATTAAAAATTACTAATGTCATTAGATTTAAAAGTTTTGCATACTAACTTAAGCAGACATAAATAGTTGTGACGCTTATAAAAAAATGTTTTATCTAAAGAAAATTGGTTAATATAAAACATTGACTGCAAATATATAGTTAAATTTTATTAAACATTTAAGTTAGTTTTGCCTTTAATCGAAAGTATTTAAGAATTTCAGATCGATGAGAGATTGCGAAAAGTACTTTGGACAGATTTTGTCAGCTAAAAATGCTTTTGCTTGTTATAGGTGGCTGTCTTACGATCCCCTCGATGCGAAAATACATTTGGAGTGGTTAGTTAAAGAATTATATGAAGCTGAGGCGGCTGGAGAGAAAGTTCACATAATTACCCACATACCACCTGGAGTTGTCGACTTGACTCACACGTGGACCAGAGAATATAACAGGATAGTCAACAGGTGACAACTAATTTTTATCCAAAATAGTGTTTGTAAGAGACGCCATCATCAGAATTTAGTCTGAGTCACTTTTTTGCTGCGCGTTTGCGCCTTAACTACTCATCTGATCATATTCGCTATGATTTTTTGCGTTCAATGTTGAAGTAAATTAGTATAGAGAAAGATATTGTATACCTGTCATCCAGAAATAAATTATACTGTTTCAAAAATACCTGAATTGATCACAAAGTATAAATAAATGCGAAGGAAGTGGCTGGTAAAACCTAGTCAGCTCTTGACCTAACCCGTCTTGACGTTCGGTGTAATCCGCGTCCTAATTTACGCCACGCTCTCCGCCCTAACATTCTAACAAATTGCTAAGGATCACCCGTTTATTATTTATGACGCTTTTCCGGGATTTTCCGCATTATTTTATTATGTATTAGTGGAAACGGTCGGATGGATTTTTTGTGAAGGCTCGCCTTGCTTTTTTGCAAAAATCTAGTTCTTTCTGGGTTAAAAGGATATCGATTTTGAATTTACACTTAAGGTAGATTATATAGTTAGTTGTATATGATAAACAAGAACATTTGTGAGGATAAACGGATGTTCCTTAATGATTCCTCTCCTCTCCTTTTTTTTTTCCCGTGCGGAAATCCCCTCGGATACCACCTATCGGTGGCATGTCGGACTCGAACCGACTAAAACCGCACGCCGTCGGGGGTACTAATAGCCGGGGAACCAGGTATACCCTAGAAAGGAAGTCCCTGGTGCTTAATGATTCCTCTATGCAAAAATGACTGAACAAAACTGGATATAATTTAGCAAGCAGATATTTTAATGTATGGATCCACACGGCGAATATTCTTTACTTTTGGAAACCACGCTCATGCAGCTGTGGGCGAGAACTTTGCATCAATCTTCGTTCGATAAAAGAACAGAATGATACAACGAAGAGAAAATAACAGTTTTTGTTATTTTACACACTAGCTACTTTCACTTGTAACATACTTCAATTTACTGGAATTCTTTTAGGTTTACCGCAACTATTGCAGCTGAATTCAATGGACACACTCATACTGACCAGTTCAAGATCTTTTTCAATCAAGAAGGAAGGCCTATCAACGTAGCATGGGGCGGCGGCAGCGCCACGAGTTTCTCATTCTACAATCTCAACTACAAAATTTTGGACATGAATCCAGTGACATACGTTAGTATAAAAACTTTTATAATGAAGTTATGCTTTTATCCGCGATGGCTTAATTTATTTATTTATTTTTCGCCGACTGAATGGCGTAGTGGTTTGTGTAACGGACTGCTATTCCAAAGGTCGCGGGTTCGATTCCCGCTCAAGTCAAACATTTGTGTGCATGAACATTTGATGTTTGATTTGGTCTGGGTGTTTCTATGTATAATATGTATGTATTTACAAAAAAAAAGTATATTTGTATTTATATCAGTTGTCTAGTACCCATAGTACAAGCTCTGCTTAGTTTGGGACTAGATGGCGTTGTGTGTATGTGTTAGAATATATTATATTATATATTATATTATTATTGCGTCTATGAACAAAAATAATAATACTATCTGATATAGTGGTGATAAACCGATTAGAGAGCCGAACAATGATCGTTGAGATCACCACGAAGATGTGGATTCGGCCATCATTGTGCCGATAGTTATATCAACCCATGAGTTGTTTGCTAAGAGCGTCAACTAACACCTTCAAAGGCTCACGTTAGGCAGCTGGATTTAGGTTTTAAATGATCCATGTATAGAGGTAAGAATGTGAGATATCACTCGATTACCTTTGGTCAGTCTATCACCTGGAAATATAACCCGTTCGATCCTTATTACTCGTTGTACATCGCTTACTGCATCTACCGATTTCTTGGATAGCGAAGTGCTGTTCTCCATTACATGACTTCAAGAAAGTGTACAGAGTTGTATCAAGTTTATACTACTCCAGCACCATGAATATGACATCCATGAGTTGTAGCTTTTTAGAGTACTGAATAGCCAAATTGATCTCCAATTGTATCTCCGAATTAATGTAGAAGTGGGGTTCTACATTCATTCTGAGAAACTGTTTGAGAATCATTTTCAATCTCAGAGTTGATGTAAGTAGTTTACCTATACATTCTTAGTAGGCATGTATTGTGTCTATAATTCTTAAGATCTACCACACTAATACTTATTTATTTATTTATATATACAAGTTGTACACAGGCGGAGTTAATGCCCGGGGCATTCTCTGCCTGTCGATCTTCGGGTGATGTAGTAAAATGATGCGGTCAACAGAGAATTAGACTTTATTTATATTAAATTTAAGATAAATCTAACTTACATAACTTATATTTGTAGAGTATTAATTATAATAACTTTTTTAATTACTGACTTACTTTTGTTTATTCAGGAGCCTGAAAGGATCGTAAATTACATCTACAATCTCACAGAAGCAAATCTTACACCGAACAGAAGACCCCATTGGTTCCAGCTTTATGACATGAAAAATACATTTCAACTGCCTGATTTGTCTCCAGAATCAATGTATGATTTAATTCGTAAAATGGCGGATACCCACCCACAGTTGCTTGAAGTTTATGCCGCTTTCCATCCTAAACTGAGTGGCCAATCGGCCTGCGACGCAGACTGTCAATTTCGCTTTCTTTGTAACACAGTTGTAACTGTTCTATGGGATAGGCAGAGATGTGAGGAATTAAGAAACCTTAGGACTAAGCAGCCCACATAGGGTCCCTATTCTATAGCTAAGAAAATTTTGGGCAATTAGTTTTATTGCTATTTGCATAATTTTGTTAGGACGATGAAGTATGAAGTCATAAAAATATTAAAATAATAAACAAGTCTCTACAATGTTTTATTTTAGTTTATTTTTTTACAATAATTTCGAATTCAAATAATTTGAAATGGAATGTATTGTAGTTCACCTATCAGTGTCAATGTCACGAATGATGATGAATGGATCGGTTTTTAATCGATCTCAAAAAAATCTCATTGTATGTTTTGTATTTTTTATGTTTGTTGCCTCAGAAATCCGTTATTATTTTTGAACCGATACGAATAATCCTTTTTATTTAGGAGGCTATACTTTCCGTTTAGTCCTATTCAGATCTTAAGAAATTACCACCCACAAAGGGTTTTTTTATCATAAAAGACAACTCCCGCACTAGGAATATATCATGTATCGCGTGGGACTTTACAAACATACATAAAACGGACACAGAACACCCAGACTCAGAACAACAATTTGTGGATCATACCAAGTGTGGGGATCGAACCCACAACACAGTGTAGTAGTAAGCGGCGACGTGACCGCTTAAACCACTACGCCATCCGTGCAGTCGTAGGACGTTTTTTAATTTAGTCTTAATTTATCTTCTTTTACGGCATGGAGTCCGTGTGGTGACGGATTAAGAATACGGAGTGTCAATACCCCTATTTATCCCATTTGTGTCGTAAGTGGCGACTAATTGAACACACTATGCAGGACAACAGCACTGCAACTATTAAAGGCTCAAGGTTTCAAGTTTTCCTTCTCTTTGCAGTCCTGCGGAGTTTACTCCCTTAGTCGGCTCTTACGACATCCACGGGATTAATAGGGGTGATGACATTCCGTATTCTTAATCCGTCACCACGCGGTCAATTTTTTTTTTATAAATGAAGTTTTAATCTTATTATAAGTGTATATATAAGTTTTATATATATTTTCACTGATTACTTAATATATTATAACGGTACCTCTGTGCCACCTACTTTACAAGATTTCTCCACCACCCAAAGGTCGACTGGAAGAGAATACCCAGGGCATTAAGTCCGCCGATGTGTTAAAGTGCATAAAGTTAAAAATATAGTTAAACAATTTTGCAGCTTGGATTACTGCTAGTGCCAAAAACGCACCCACATACATACACATTTATGACAGGTGCACTTGACCTAATTTTGAAAAAGCGTTAAAAATATTATATGATATGATACACTCTCACATTTTTTTGATATAGGGGTGCAAACGAGCAGTCGGGTCACCTGATGGTAGGTGATTACCGCCGCCCATGAACACCTGAAACTCAAGTGCGGTTCCTCCCTTTCCGGCCTCCCACCAGATCCAGGTGTTCCCCCTGGTGAGCAAGAACTACTTAACACCGGTTTTCTGTTGGTATCAGCCTGGCCTGTTTGTGCTGAATAGACATGGAAATTATTGCTACTTTTAAATCATATTCATTTGATGAAATTATTGGTTTAGTCATAGCGATTTCACGTGTGATTGTGATTACGTCATAGACAAAGATGAATGGCATTAAAATCAATCGAAATTCTTTTTGTGAAACGTTTTTTTGTTTTTCTTTTAAATTTAGACCTTTCGTGTGTTTTTTTTTATGGTTATAGGGGCAAACGAGCAGACGGGTCTCCTGATGGTAAGCAACTACCGCCGCCCATGAACACCTGAAACTCAAGGGGGCACAAATACGAGTAATATTCATTAAGTGGCAGCGGGTTCGTAAAGTTAGTAAATAAATTCAGCAGATTGTGATTTTATTCCATGCCTAGTGCCGAAGCATGGCTCTGTACCTACAGCCTGTGTGATGTACCTACAGCCGGTAGCGAGAGATCCTCTCCGATGACTGCAGTGAGGACCCGATACTGCGATAATCAAGGTGAAGAAAACCGCCAGCGTATACTGAGCCGCGTCCAGCCTGGACGACCAACGAGCCAATGTGGTGACTTGTGATATTCCTTACCCTCTGACGATATATTGCCGTACCCTATTTTAACTTCTGCCTTTGTCCTGTCTAGACCCGATTGCACCTATCGTAGAATTCTCAGAATGTTGTAATAACGTCCCTTGTTCCCTTGTCCCCTGAGAGGAGTCTCCTCGCAAGCCATACAGGAAAATACGGTCAAGAACAATGTAGACCCCACACTGCCTTCTCTTTCTCAACCTATTTACTTTTACCAAGCGTGTCATGTTATACTATATTTGCGTAGTCATTTTCATTAAATCCATGTTAACGATGTATTCGACTCTTGTTCGTTATTTCATTTTAAAACCGTTCAAAAAGGTACTAAGGAAAACATACAAATGCCCATCGCTTATAATAATATACAATAATTAATAATTCTAAATACCTGTTGATTAAAATGAATATGAAATCAAAGATAACAATCAGTGTTTCTGTATCAGTCATACTTAGATAAAGAAACGTACGAGGGCAACATCGATCGAAAAATATATAAAAACAATATTGAATTGACATTGCGAGATTCGTTTTATAAAAAGTTCGGATGAGTGAAAACTCAAAATAAAAACCGCCTGGCCAGCGTGGTATAGTAGGCCAAAACCTCCTTTCTAAGGCGAGGCCCATGCCCAGCAGTGTTTGTAATGACTTTGGATTGAGGGTTAAAATTTACAAGTGAATAAAGTTCTATTTATATGCCTTACTTTACCACGATTAGGATCGATGCCGATTGCGCAGCCGGCTGGAACTCCACCCACATTTATATGTATCACAATGGAATCTAAAAAATATAAATACTTCTAATAAAGATGTGAAAATGTTTCGTGTCAAAAATACAGAATGTGTTTATAAAAACTTCAAATGCATTGCATCTGATGTTGTTTTAGCACACGCTGGAGGACTGCCTCGCTTGGGCGTCTGAACGCGAAGTCCTGGTCGACCAAATCGGTCGAGATCTGTCCCCGCCAGCAATGCGGCGTGAGGAGGGCTCAGGCGCAGTGGTCTCTATCTGTGAAGCTGTGATGCTCCACAAAGAGACCGCTGAACGGGATCGCGAGAGGGCCGATCCCGAGCGTAGAGGACGTCGAAACCAGCCGTCGACGGGGCCGCAGGCTGCCAGAGAGTGGGGACCTCTGGTAGCAGATTATGCGCGGGATAGAATGGCGGCCTGGTCGCAAAAATGCGATCGGGCCGCAACATATTATAAGGATTGGGCCGATAGGCGGGGGAATCCCGCAGCTTCCCCGGGATAGGGCTTTACTAGGTGCGGCGTCGATGGGGAACATGAAATAACACGGTCCGAGTCCTCCTCGGAGTAGGGCGCCTAAGTCCGGCCGTCAGGGTGGTTTTTAGTGGAAACACCACATACTCCTGGCTCCTACATATCCAAGGAGAGGGAGATCCGAAGGTATTTTCCACCCCGTCAACAAAAAAAAAGGATCGATGCCGTTGCCACAAATGATGCGTTGTGTGATGCGCCGCATAACACGCACAACGATGTTGCGGCGTTATGAAGGAGTGCGTGAAAAAGAATTAGAACTCTTTGCACCAACCCCAAATAAATTTAGAAAAAGATGATTACGATTTAGGCTTAATTTAATGAAAAGTGTTCCGAAAAGCTTTCAAACTACTTACTCTATGTCAACAAGTGTGTTGTGTGTTGAAAACTTAAATTTAATAAAATTAAATCCTCAGAATCCCGTCTGCAATTACAATTGTAAGTAGCGTATCGTTTCGTAGCTTCGATAATTTTCTTTTGTTGCGACTCGTTTTATTGTAGATATGGGCAACAATGCTGCCCCCAACAACCTACCTCTAACGTCACCGGTTCTCTGGGATTTAGAAACCTATATAATACTGCTCCCGAGGTAAATGACATGGCATACGGTACATTGAAACAACGTGCAGATTTACGAGTAGAATGCGTAAGTATGCGTTGCGCTGTCCGTGTGGTGATGAATTAAGACATCAGTGTGGTGGCGGATTCAAACCCTATGGCAACCCGTTTGACCCGTGTTCTATAGTAGGCCAAAACCTCCTTTCTAAGGGCAGGCCTATGTCCAGCAGTTGATTTTTAAAGGCTGTTGATGTGTTGATTATGTGCGCTGTAATTATTATTAGACGCAAGACGCAATGCGAGCGCCAATGATGTCGAATAACAAACACACGGCTCTTCGGATTGTTTACAGCTACCGTTATATCTCCCTACACACTAAGGCCATGAACGATTTCCTCTTGCTTTATCCTTCAAGAAAAGGTTTTTGATGATAGAGGATGCAAACGAGCAGACGGACACCTGCAAACTCGTTGCTACCCTGTGCGTACCCAGTGATTCCGTGGTAACACTCTGGTCGAGCCGGCAAATATGTATGTATCGAATGGCTCTGGTACGATATCAGTCTAACACTCGTAACGTGCAGAGGGCCTAAGGTGAGTTTATTTTATTTAAACTCGCTCTCGACGGCGATTTGTCAAGAGTTCAGTGGGGGCCAAAACACTGGACTCTCTGGTAAGGTGGATAAACAGTCAGTGTTTAACAATAATGGCTCCATTCGCTCTACCTCATTGGTTGAGTCATTGAGAAAGAGGTTTCTACCCAATAGGGTCTTACGGAAATTCCAACAGGTAAGTAAATGTACAGAGACTTCTGATAATGTTGATTGATGATGAATCGGTTACTGATAATTAAATAGATTACTTCGTAATTATTTAAAACGTGAAATAATGCAAAGCATGACTTGTGTGTCGTGATTTGTTCGAGGAGCTTTTGTTGACTTGTTGATGATCACTACGTCGCACACATACGGTTATATATGCGCCTGATAACGATAAAACTTCGGTATCTTTAAGTGATTAGTCCCGAATCGCATCTATGATCATTAGAATCAAAATTTATAATACCTATGTACGCAAATTGCGTAATATAATCTATTTATATGGGTGTTGTCCTCAGTTATCATTCAAAGCTAAGCAATCGAGCGGGTATGATGAGGGTGCTCGTTTTAGTGATAACGTTATTGGCTTCGGCATTTGCTTCACAACTTCCGACAGCAGGTAAATATATTTAAATTTATTGACGAACAACATACTTTTTCTATTTTTTTTATACCACATTCATACGATATTGCTGTACATTTACATATACAACATAATGTCAAGTTTTAAGATGTTGTTTTCAAAATATATCATAAGTATGTTTCTAAAATTAGGACAAATCTTTTTTTCTTTTTAAAGTAATTTACTATCTAATACAGCTATTAAGTTTGAAAGGATTTATACTCGTACACCTGTCACACCTAGCTCTGCGTAATACCCAAAGGTTGGCTGGAAGAAAATGGCTACGGCATTTTGCATTATAAAAGAAATAAAATAAAATACCGCTAGTCATATGCCTTATATCTAATGAATGGCTTTAATGATTATTTTTACATTTATATTGTCAGTTTCAAATTAAGGTTAGGGTACAAAAATAATTATTTTTCTTAATTGGAGTGCTTTGAGTTATTAATAAGCTCTTTTATACATCTTTAAATATGGCAGCACTTTGGACGTGTAAATTGTATTTATAGGTTTTTCCTTCTTTAACAACTATCCATAAAACCGTTTACTACTCCCAAAACCATAACTGTTATGCATAGTCACTTTCCCTTATAAAACATTCTGAATTTGCCCATCTTTGATGCTCAGTCAGGCACTTTTGACGACAATAAGTTTACCTTCCGTTATGTGAGCGGGACTTCGAAGTTTGGCGTCATTATAGTTGACAAAATATCGATGTTTAATAAGCTCTGCCTACCTCTTTTGAGATATAGGCATCTCTATGTGCTATAAGTTTTCTTTTTCTTAAAAAGACAACTCCCGCATTAGGAATACGTGGGACTTTACAAACATACATGAAACGGACCCAAAGAACACCCAGGCTCAGAACAACAACAACACAAAAACAACCGTGGAGTCCGTGCAGTTTATTTATAGATATACTTGGTTATAAATAATCTTTTATCTGTTTTTTATTGTTTTTAGATAACGTAGAAGAACTAGTTAGAACACACGCAAAACATGAGTTAACAGAAACCGAAACTCAAGAGATTCACAAAGTATTAAATTTTCTTCGTACACCAAAACAAAACACTGAACCTTGGAATGACGCATTCATAGACTCGGTAAGAATACTAAGAATTAAGATTCAAGAGGAGATGGCACTGGTATTCTTAGTGTCTTGAAGTTATCATTTCGAATGCTAATGTGTGTGTGTATGTGCGTGCGTGTGTATGTTTGCATTGTTGTAAATACATAGGTGACAAATTCTCGCTCCCCAGTTTAAAATATCAAATCAGTAAATTATCACACTGGCGCTGAAGGTAGCTACTTATTTCGAAACTTAAAATCAAATCAGAAATATGAATCATTATCGTAAGTAATCTTAAAATAACAATGTTATTGCGTCACATAATGATTATCACCTGCATACTTATGATACGTAGGTATATAGGTAAGTACTTAGATAATTTTTATGAAATCCATTTTTTTCAATGATGTTTAACATTACATTACGTACCTAAATAATAGTTTGTTTTAAAAATACTTCAATATATTTACAGAGCATCGATTGCCTAGTATGTCAGAGTGCATTTGCAGCTGTATTTGAAGGCGTCCGAAATGGCCAAACCGACAAAGGAGTAACTGATGTGATCGTTAATCTCTGCATAAACCTCAACATACAAAGCAAACACATTTGCGATGGAGCTGTTTCACTGAACATAGTATGTATTTTACTAAACACATAAATTTTTAGACCCTGAAAAAACCTTATACTTGGTAATATATAAATATACGGTATTATGTAGGTAGTCACGGTGCCCTCCTTCTTTCCCCCGTATTCTCTTTATCATCATCATCAACAGCTTTAAACAGTCCAACGCTGGATATAGGCCGCTTTTTAGAATGGAGGTTTTGGCCTACTATACCACACTGGCCGGGTGGGGTTGGTATAGAGATTGTTTTAAGTTTTCCTTCTCTTTGAAGTGCTGTTGTCCTGCGTAGTTTGCTCCCTTAGTCGGCTCACTCACGGGAAGAAAAGGGGTGGTGACACTCTGTATTCTTAATCCGTCACCACACGGACAATGAAATGTTTTTATTGTGCGTTTATTAAGATCTACTTCTTCTTTGATTACAATTGCTAGTGTCCATATATTCATAACCTCTGCATCAAAAATATTACGAGATCTGTGTCTCGAATCACTTATTTGTAAAGAAAAGCATTTTGAGACATCTCAAAGCTCAATTATCTGGGGCCAGCTAATATTACCAGTCGTATCAACAATTAACATAATTTTAAGGCTCTCAATGGGAAATTTACATGAATATGAATATTTGAATTGAATATTTTTACAATTATTATATTTATTGAAATACATTCTTAAGAGGTATTTGAAAATTGTAGGTTTTCTATTTGTCAATGTAAGTTAAAGTGAACAATTCGACGGCTACGTGAGTATGTCTTGTTAGGGCTACAATTTAGACGATCAATACTTCATCAGCTCCATTATAATGTCAGATTAGAGCAAGCAAGAGAAGAAGTGTTGACTGCACGGATGGCGTAGTGGTTTAAGCGGTCGCCACGCCGCTTACTACTACGCTGAGTGTTGTGGGTTCGATCCCCACATGGAACGACACTTTAATCCACAAATTGTTGTTCCAAGTCTGGGTGTTCTCTGTGTCCGTTTCATGTATGTTTGAAGAGTCGCCCGCGACACAGGATATATTCCTAATGCGGGAGTAGTCTTTAAAACAAAAAAGAGAATTTTAAGGTTTAGCTTTAAGATGAGATCAACTTCTAACAACGTCGCTATCATCAATAGCCTTTAATAGTCCCCTGCTGGACATAGGTCTGAGAGAGGTCCTTAGAAAGGAGGTTTAGTCATCACTATAGTTCATTTTTATTGTATTCTTTTTTATATTTTAGCCAATAATAACACACATCATCAGAACTACGCCCGAAGCCACGCCAAGATCGTTCTGTGGACACGTGTTGCAAAACGCTCACAACCCAAATTTCTGTAGAGTCACCGATCCCAGATTTGAATGGCAAGTAAATCTACCACCACCAGCGACACCCAGCAACGTAAGTACATATTTTATGATCGGTTTAACACTCTAATTACCAAAGTAATTGCCGAGAAAGTACCATGCATACCATGAAGTGATAACACCGTTCCGTTTCACCGAGTAAATGAATGCCAATCCTTTCGACCTCCCCATCCTAATTCTGGGTGGTAGTACTAAAAGGACTTGTATCTTTTAAGTTGTGGGTGTCTATGTGTCTCCAGCAGGTGATCCGTCTTCTCAATTGCTCCCTACATCATGAAAGTGTAGTTAAAAAACATACCCATTTCATTCCACAGCCACCTCCGGTTGACACAAAACCGCTGAAAATTGCCTTCATTACGGACGCCCACATCGATCCTCTGTACGAAGCTTTCGGAGTAGCCGAGTGCGGAGAACCAACATGTTGCAGAAAGGGACAGTCCTTACCGCAGTCCACAGTTGGAAGACCTGCACCGGCGGGATACTGGGGTGATTATAGGAACTGTGATACTCCACTATGGGCATACGACGATCTTATTGACCGAGTCGCAGAGACACATAAGGTATGTAGAAAAGGCTTAAAAGAACAGCCAAAAATAACACATTTTTTTTATTTTATAATAATACCTTCTACACTTCTCACACACGGCACTCTGATCATAAACTAGGCAGAGCCCGTGCTATGGTAACCAGACTGCTGATAAACATACTTAAATATTTGTAAATACATATATTATAGATAACTTACATCCAGACACAGAACAAATGATCATGCTCGTCAAACAATTATATGACCTGAGTGGGAGTCGAACCCAGGATCTTCGGCTTAACAGTCAGGGTCACAAACTATTAGACCAAAAAGCCCGTCAATTAATCTAAGAACTTACTTACATCGTATGATATTAGGGCAGTTTCGTTCAATGTTGCCTGATCTATAGTCGTTTTCTGGATAATGTGTTATGATCAGAGATCGAAATAGGTAGAGTATATTTACCTAAAGTTCGTGGAAGTACCTAAGTAACATAAAGTAGAATAATATCTGAGGTCGTGGGGCTTTCGGGACGGGGACTGCGAATTCCTCTTTTGATATAATAATTATTTTTGAGTAGTATATTGGTACCACTACTAAAACCTCTGGGAAAGTACGGTCAACAAAAAAACACATTGGAATTTATACAAATACTTTTTTATGAAACGCTAAAATATTTAAAAAAAAAATTTTTTTTTTTATCGTTTTATAAAAATAGTTTTATTTTTATAACTTCTAATTTTTTTTGTTGATCGTACTGTCCCAAGACTACATTTATGACGCACCTATATCTAACCTATTTATAACGAAAAAGTGTTGACATTTTGAACTTACCCGTAAACGGTTTCATCCAAAAATGATATCCTCCCGCCATTTTTCACCTCACATTTCGTGTCTTTATGTAATGGGAATATCTTAACGCATGAGTTTACCCAATTTACAGGATATAGATGTAGTATATTATGTCGGAGATACCATCGATCACTTTGTATGGGAAACGACATACGAATTAATCAATGACGTGAACCGCCATCTCATTAAAAAAATGAGATCAAGTTTCGGTGACGATGTCTTGGTTATACCAACTCTTGGCAACCATGAATCGCAACCTACGAACCAGTGAGTTTTGTTTCTTATCTACTTACTTTTTTATTATTGTGCATTATACAAAGAGGTTTATTGCATTTTAGATTTGCTCCGTCATCGGTGAAAGGAGAATACATCAACACAACATGGCTCTATGACGCACTTGCCGAGAAATGGGACCACTATCTAACTGAAGCCGCAAAAGTCTCTATGAAGGATCGAGGAGAATTCTCTATACTAGTGCGACCAGGACTAAGAGTTATTTCTTTAAATAACAACGTAGCTTTCACATCTAATTGGTAAAGAATTTGCATCGTTTCAGAACTTCAAAAATATTCTAAAAATATTGATTACAATACTAGGGAAAATGATTTCTTGAATACGAGTTATTTTATCTTTTGATATTATTCATTAAATAATCAGTGGTCTGTTTATATTATGATATAATACAATCATTATAACGATTATAATATACCTACGAGAGTGTTTACCTATAACATACAATATACAAAAAATCTTAACTGTTTGATTATCACAGCGCTGTCGATAAAATTTTTACCATACGTCTCCAAATTATACCACTTTAGCATTTTTATTATGTTTTTTTAATCATACATACTGTCAATCAGTTTTATAAAAAACTTAGTGCAAGATCAGGTAGGTACAATCAACAGCAATAAACAGGTATAAACGCGATTAATAGGCAATTAATCCCTAAGTTTCCATAGACAAATATTTAATTACACATTACTTAAATTGGTAGCAACATTAAAATTTAAAAGATTTTAGGTGGTTGGCGTACGATCCTCTCGACGCGAAGAGACATTTGGATTGGTTGGTTAGCGAGTTGTCGAAAGCTGAACGAGCTGGAGAGAAAGTTCATATTATTACCCATGTTCCTCCTGGAGCTCGTGACTTGACTTTCACGTGGTCTAGGGAATACAACAGGATTGTGAACAGGTAACGGATACAATCGCATCTAAATTATTTATGGCGTGTGTATGTCCTCGTTTTGTTCTTTTAACTATTTGGTTGTACATCGTCTAAAAATATTAGTTCAAAGTAATATTACGAAATAATGAATGGACAATTTTAACCTATATAATCCACGACATAAATACGTTGTTTTGTCTTAATAGACAAAAAACTTAAGTATTTTCCGTTATTATTTTACATAGTTAAATTATTTATTTCCACTATCTTCATATCACGTCACAACTGTACTTTTTATCTGCACTTTACCAAAGGCAAATTTATAAATAAGTTTCGATATACATATTGATCTTAAGTATCGATATATATATATATATATATATATATATATCGATCTCAATAGATTCCTATCCAAAAAGTATAATTTGTAGACAATTGTAGGTACCTGAATACTTTCATTCTTTTACACTTTAAACACGTGTTAAACACTTGTATCCCTCTTAGATTCAGCGCAACAATTGCAGCCGAATTCAACGGACACACTCACGCAGATCAATTCAAGGTCTACGCAAATCCAGAAGGAAAGCCCATAAATGTAGCGTGGGGCGGCGGTAGCGCTACCACTTACACCTTCTACAATCTTAACTACAAAATCGTTGAAATCAATCCTGCGACTTACGTAAGTATCAAACTAGGTACCTACTGGTTTACAACACCTTATAATATGTGAATTGCCCGTAAAGAGAATTGAAAAAAATCTTCCATGCTTCGGCTCGACCGGAGTGATACCACGGCCTCACAAAAACCGGTGTTAAGCAATACGTTTCCATTGCTTTAAAACGAGTGTGTAACGGGATGTCCAACCCTTGTAATACTGGGGCATTCAGAGGGTGCAGAGTTTCATTGGCAGCAATAATAACTAACCATCAGCAGTGCTATTCTCTAAGGAAACAGCCTTGCGTAGTTACCTACACTTACTTCGAAATTCGACGCTGTGAGCGGTGTAGCGTCGAATTTAAAACGAACTTAGTTTGCAGTTACGCAAGACTGTTTCCTTAGAGAATAGCACTGCAGGTGACCAGACGGGTTGTTTACATTTTTTTTAAATTGTCTACTAACCAGAACTTGCGAAATCACGCGGGAAATTAAGTGTGAAGTTATTATTATTCTGCGAATTGGACACTAGGTTCGCTTTTACGTTTTGCGAATTCGACATTCTGCGCCTTAAGCCTTAACTAACACAGTATTGCTTTTTTACAGGCGCCTGAAAACATCGAAACATACGTCTACAATCTAACCGAAGCAAATCTTAGGCCGAATGTAAGACCACATTGGTTCAAGCTTTACGATATGAAAAACACTTATTCACTGCCTGACTTGTCTGCAGAATCAATGAACAATTTAGTTAGGAGAATGGTTACTACCGATACGCATTTGCTTAATATTTACGCCGCATTCCACTTTAAATTGAGTGATTATCGGGTACCACATTGCCACATGGACTGCAAGCTGAATCAAATGTGTAACATAGTAACCACTGTTCTGTGGGACAGTCGAAGATGCGAAGAAGTCCGACGGCTGCATGCTCAGTATTCAAACCGTGCATTAAATTAAATTCTTAATTAAAAAAAGAGGCGTGCACTTTTTAAATGTATAAATAAATAGGCAAAAACGATACCATTTTTTTATTTGTCAACTGATTTCCTTTTATTTTTAGCCTTTTATGTGCATTATAGTGACTATTATTTTTTAAATTAAATTAAATTGTCTACTCAGCTTTTTTTTTTTGCTTCCATGGCAGAGAGAAAGCGTAGATTCTTAAGAGGTTCCCGCGCATAGCCCTTCTGAATTGACAATTAACAACGTCATATTTCATTTCTACACAATATTCTGTTTGGATATCTACTTAATAGACTTTAAAGTCAACTGCCGTATTGGGTTGTCACAAGCAAAACCTAACTGCAAAATGTAATATTAATAGAAACTTAAATATATTGTCTATGCCCATTAACTACGTATGAAAGTATATTGGGACTTCACGCTGCTTTCTACTGCGCTGAGTGTTGTGGTTTCGTTCCTTACATGGGGACAACACTGTGTGATCCAGAAATCGTTGTCCTGAGTCTGGGTGTTCTTTGTGTCCGTTTCTTGTTTGCAAAGTCCCACACGACACATGATATATTCCTAGTGCGGGACTTTTCGTCTTGAAATGAATGAATATATATATTTCATTTTAATAAATACTTCTAAAGGTGTTATTAAATCGATAGGCATTTTTTTAACTAATTTGATTTATTTGTACAGAAAACGAACAATATATCAGATAACTTAGGCATTTTAACTATGGACTAGAAAGGAGCTTCATCAATGACTCAATATACTTAACCATTTGATGTCAGGCTTCCATCTCAGCTCTTCACTTGGAATTTTATCCAGCTCTGAAATCTGTGTAATAAATATGTGGAAATTAGTTAGAAATCGCGACTCCAAGAGGTTGACGGATTATCAGTCATTAAGTCGAGCTGAATGTTAAAATGTAGGAATTTGGCAAAAAACACGTGTTATGTCCCTCCAACACAAAGGAAGGATTTCCTGAGGTGATCCTGGCAGGTGGGCCGTGGCCCAACTGTTAATGTTTGAAAGTTGTATACACGGGTGTCCCAGAATTCGACGTCAAGCTAAAATCGGTTGACAGGTCAAGTTACAATAGTTAACAAAAAAATATTTAAAAAAATCTTTGCTATGTATTTAAAAAATTACAGGCATTTATAAAAAAATGAAGAAAATCTACATCCTGTGATGGTCTTTTATCTCCTTTTACTACAAATTTTACCTTTTTTTATTTTTATTTGCATTATGTATTCCTGAATAATGCTGCTGAAAACTGTTGCTTAAAATTTATAGCCAACTGCTCTAGTCCAGAAAGAAATGTATTTTTTTTAAACCAAGTATTCAAAATTAATACTTTTCCCAGTTTTAAATGACTGTACTGAAAAAAATTTACAACACGAGTTTGGCAAGTAACTTTTATAAGGATTCGAAAATGGTATGACACTTGCACGATTATTTGTTAAATTATGGAAATGAAATATTTTTTAAAGAACCCCAGTTGTAAGTTAATTTTCCCCACCTGTCTAAAATGCTTTTTTTGTCCAGTCATTTAAAACTGGGCCAAATAGTAATTTGAATACTTCGTTGTAAAAAAATTACATTTCCTTCTGGACTGGAGCAGTTGGCTAAAAATATTACGCAACAGTTTTCAGAAGCATTATTCAGGACTACACAATAAAAAATAAAGTTATAAAAAGTTAAAATTTGCAGTAACAGGAGTTAAAAGACGTTCACAGAATGTAGTTTCTCGATTTTTTCTAAATAGCAAAGATTTTTTTTATTTTTTTGTTAACTATTTACGTATTTTTTTTATTGTGATATTATGACCTATCACCCGATTCCAGCTTGACCTCGACTTCTGGGACATCCTGTATGTACAAATAGGCTCGAAAATTTGTTATTACATAAATTATACAAATGAAGTGACACACATACATATAACTCGAATGATGATCATAATTATTTTTAATCAAAAAAGAAGCAAAAGTAGGTAGAAGCTCATAAAAATAGGAGTTTTCAGCTAACCTATAGGAACGTGATATATGGCAGAAGGAGGTATTTTTTTTACGGGACTAATCCCTCCCACACGCCCACCACTGTAACTCCTGTACAGACCCACAAACACACTGAGTTATGACACTTGGGAAGTCCCAGGAAAAAATTAAACTGTCTTCGAACCAGCAACGAAATTAAGTGGAGGGATATCAGAAAGAGGTGTGTTAGAAAGAGGTAGGTCAGAAAGAGCTATAACAGAAGGAGGATTGTAAGAAAAAGGAATGTCAGAACCACTTATGTCAGAAGTAGGTATGTTAGGAAGAGGTATGACAGTAGGAGGTATGTCAGAAAGAAATATGACAGAAGGATGTTTTTCTTAAAGAGTTATTTACATATTGAAAAATATCTGAACACAACTATACCTGATGTCTGATAAACTTAACAATTCTTTCAATATGTGCAGCCTTAACATCGTCTGACAATGAATAGAATCTTCTCCAGATAGCTGCAGCTAGTACTTTGTCATCATCTAATCCTTCATCATAAGCCACAAGAGAAGCTTGAAACTGTTCTGACAACTCAGCCACTTGCTTTCTAGCTATTGCTGGATTTGCACCCTGTAGTTATAGATATAAACGAATACATTATATTTTATAAAATATCTGAATCTGGTCTGAATTCTGTCTGAATTGAAAAATTCTTGTAGTGTAGGATAGCTCATTTATCGAAGAAGGCCTTATAACATTAAGCTAGAAAAAATTAGAGCTAAGCATCAATTAAAATGTTTCGAAAACATTTTGCAAAATTTGTTCCTTTAGAGAGATGCAGACCAAGTTGTGCAGGTCTGGTAATAGAATGTGTTTATTATATTGAATAAAACGGCTTGAGGGGTATATGGATGCCCGGTCGAAAAGAAGTTCCTTTTCCCTTTTTGGTACACATATATTTGAAATAAGAAACAGATTGTCGATGCGCCAACTAAAGTGTCGGAAAAATCTCCTATCCGCTCAGAGTGTGTAAAGTGCAATAAGGAACTTAGTTCCAAAAACAATTGAATATGTAACTTACCTCTAATAATTTAATTTTATTTGCAGCATCGGCCCACATGGCTTCTATTATACAATTTCTTACAAAGTGACCATCTCCTTTAATGTACTTTTTTTTTTCAGTGGTAGGTTTGGCAACATCTTCAGCCATATACCGAACCATTAACATCCAAACGTGCAACTCGGTTACACTGAACCAGGAATTAAATGTGTCGGGTAGTTCTAAACTTTCAAACCAATTTACGTAAGACACTTTGTCGGGTATATTTTCGTACAAAAAATATCCTGTTAACTTTAAGCGCTGAAAAATATTAATAACAGTGTTGAATAAATTATAATAGTTCTATAATAACTGGAAAATAAACTTAAATACATCAATAGGTATTGTTTAATGACAGTGTTACTAAAACTAATAATTTAAATTAATACGAATATCTTTTGAATATGAAATAGTTCATTAAAATCTAATATCTTAATTTATTATAATAACCCATTTAAGGTACAGGAGTAAAATAAATATATTTGATATCCTATAGTTACCAAAACTGCTGTTAAACATTCTTTTGTATTTTTGAATCATACTTTTATTATATTGCAAATAAATTATAATTATACTCATTGCACAATTATTAGCCATAGATGGGAATCAAACCTGCAACCTCAGGCCCATCGGTCAGGATCCCTAACCTACACTAGATTAACAGGACTGTGAGAAATAAACATTTAAAAAACTTTACTTATATTTACTATACTTATACTTACTGTTCTACTTTGATCCATCCAACCTACAGCATTCATAAACTTCTTAACATAACTTTCATCCATAGTTACAGTATTTATATTTCTTGAATGTGTTTTACTATTAATACCATTATATACGCCAGTAACACATGGCCTTGCATAATCAGCTTTGATATAGATACATTGCTGCCACAATATCTAAAAAAAAATTAAAAATATCTTGAACGACCACCAAATTAAAATGGCCTAAAAATAACTTAAACTTTTAAGGTAAATAAAATCGTATAGGCCTGTTTCATGTATATATACGTACACGAGATAAATTACGTGATCGAAACATTTTTATCATTTTAATATCATTCCAATTTAATATAAAACGTCCAACGCCAGTTTTTGTGAAACCTCCGCAGTTCCTTCAATTACATTTGACAATTATGTCACCAATGTCACAATATCAATTTTCCTCTCAGCACAAATCATAGAGTGCATTGGGTGCTTCTATAAGCAAGCTATCCCATTGATAAGTATGTCATTGATTCCATACATACTTATTTGTTTGCAATTTTTTGAAGTTAAGATAAAGAAGTTAATAACTACTGATGAGTCTGTCTTCAAAAATATCGTTAGAGAATAATATTGTAAAATAGTACATGGTTTTAAAGTTGCAAACAAGTTTACAATGATATTAAGTTCCTCTCGTGAGTGAACCTTTCAATTGAAAAACTTTGTTAGATACATTTAAGAACAACATTATTAATTTAAGCCGCTGAGTTAAACTTTATCAAGTAATTTATTTTAAAGCTACTTCAAAGCTAAAAAATCCTTTTAAATTATTAAAATCAATTAAACAAAACTGGCACGTTACTTATGGCCTAAGTTGTAGAAAAGGAGTTAGTGTTGTTTCATATTTTTCTTGATTCTTTGTCTAAGCGATGCCGAAAAAGTCACTCTTAAGATCTTATAAGATCTAATTTAGTAGCCATAGACAATTATAAACTAATAATTCCTCGTTCAATAAATGTTCACGTTCCGTGTCTATAGTACCTATTTTTAAGGTTACATAATTTGTACGGCGGGGCACCGAATTTTTGCCCAAGTGTATCATATAATCAAAAATGTTGGGGGCTGTAAGTCGGGTTGGTAGCGGCCTCTTAGCCGCTAAGACAGTAGTTGAGAAAACCATTACAGAATGTGGCAAAATTGCTACTGTGTCCGCCATCAACAAACGAGATTACGCCAAAGCTGCCGCTGGCAAGGGTTCAGGTAAGGTGGTGGCTGTAATCGGTGCCGTAGTAGACGTACAGTTTGATGATAACCTTCCCCCAATTCTTAATGCTTTGGAGGTACAGAACCGCTCACCCCGGCTTGTGCTGGAGGTGGCTCAACACTTGGGAGAGAACACCGTCCGTACCATCGCTATGGACGGTACCGAGGGTCTGGTGCGCGGTCAGCCTGTGTTGGACTCAGGATCACCTATCCGAATCCCAGTAGGCGCAGAAACCCTCGGGCGCATCATCAATGTCATCGGTGAACCTATCGATGAGCGCGGCCCTATTCCGACCGACAAGACCGCCGCCATTCACGCTGAAGCTCCCGAATTCGTAGAGATGTCCGTGCAGCAAGAAATTCTTGTCACCGGTATCAAGGTCGTCGATTTGCTCGCTCCCTACGCTAAGGGAGGTAAGATCGGTCTATTTGGTGGTGCTGGAGTCGGTAAAACTGTACTCATTATGGAGCTGATCAACAACGTCGCCAAGGCCCATGGTGGTTATTCCGTGTTCGCGGGAGTAGGTGAGCGCACTCGTGAAGGAAACGATTTATATCATGAAATGATTGAATCTGGTGTCATCTCCCTGAAAGACAAGACTTCCAAGGTAGCGCTTGTTTACGGTCAGATGAACGAGCCCCCTGGCGCCCGTGCTCGTGTCGCTCTTACTGGTTTGACTGTGGCTGAATATTTCCGTGACCAGGAAGGACAGGATGTGTTGCTGTTCATTGACAACATTTTCCGTTTCACCCAGGCTGGTTCTGAGGTGTCTGCTTTATTGGGTCGTATCCCCTCTGCTGTAGGTTACCAACCTACCTTAGCCACTGACATGGGTACTATGCAGGAGCGTATTACCACCACCAAGAAAGGTTCCATCACTTCCGTGCAAGCCATCTATGTACCTGCTGATGACTTGACTGACCCTGCCCCTGCCACAACTTTTGCCCACTTGGACGCCACAACTGTATTGTCTCGTGCTATTGCTGAGCTTGGTATCTACCCAGCTGTGGACCCTCTTGACTCAACCTCCCGTATTATGGACCCCAACATTATTGGAGCTGAACATTACAATGTGGCCCGTGGTGTCCAGAAGATTCTTCAGGACTACAAGTCCCTGCAGGACATCATTGCTATCCTGGGTATGGATGAATTGTCTGAAGAAGACAAGCTGACTGTAGCTCGTGCCCGTAAGATCCAGAGGTTCCTGTCGCAGCCTTTCCAGGTTGCTGAAGTGTTCACTGGACATGCTGGCAAGTTAGTTCCTCTTGAGGAAACAATTAAGGGCTTCACACAGATCCTACAGGGTGAATATGACCACCTGCCTGAAGTAGCATTCTACATGGTTGGACCTATTGAAGAGGTTGTTGCCAAGGCAGACACTCTTGCTAAGTCTTAAATAGAATATGATTGAATGCAAAAGTAATGTTATTCCTTAATAAATTTAGTGAAAACTAATTTTAACCTTTTTATTTATATTTTTAAAAACCAACATGCAAGTGGACCTTTTAAAACAATAATAAGATTGTGTCTGTTTAGAATTATTGAAAAAATAACTATTTTAGGTGTTAATAATTATTGTAATGCTTATTCTCAGATAGATACTATAGGAATTAACTAGTGTGAAATATGTTGTTACTTTAGCATAACCCCAAAGTTCATTATGTAATAAGATGTTTTTTTCTTGAAAATAATAGGGATGACATAATCAGACTTTGAAGTTAAGAACTTGAATTTATATTTAGGATTTTAGCTCTATATTAAAAGCAGTTCCATAAATAGTTGTACAGAAGATGTGATGTAAAAATTTTCTCAATCCACAGAACAATTCCAAGTTGTACTGAATTATTTTATTATTATTCTATTGCGTACATAGATGGCGCGACAGTTAAAATGGTTCCCTTGCGTGCGGCCAATGCGTCTGGTGTAGTAATAGCGGTTTGAGTGCACTTTACTTTGTACTCATTGGCTGCAGTACCCATGGAATGTGATATCACATTTCGTATTGAAAACTGCTTCAAAACAGTTACGCTACAGTTAACAGTTGGTGTATACAACCACAGCTATAAACAATCGTAAGTATATAACTAAAAACTACAGCTGAATAGTTTTTGTTTGTTTAACATGGTACCTATTTCTGCAACGATTACTCAGATATGAATAATTATTTTTGTATTGGATAAATTATTCATTGCGCAAGGTATGCAACATCACGCATTAGCCCTTAGGAGCAGAGCAGAGCAGAGATCACATTTTATTATAGAATTTTAAGATTTACATGATGATGAATGAAATCGTAACATTCATTAAAGTTATGAATTGCAGCCTCCTTTTAATGTTATTCTTCATATTTAGTAAACAGGAATTCTGCCTAAAAGAAGATACCATTCCTAACATCAGTTGTGTCACTAGATTTGAGCTTTGGGTTGTGATTGTGATGAGTAAATGAAAATTGGCTCAATTTTCACATTTTACCCACTGTACCATCCCCCATACCAATGGTAGTATGCTGGGTCCAAAATGGTACCACCAAATAGTGATAAAACACCAAACCCCTGTTAACAGGACTATTAATGTATTCAACTTTATCTTTCATGCCACACATACAAGGTCAGCTGGGAAAAGTTGTCTAGCCATTACAATGAAAACATGGGATGATACATTAAATTGTGGAAATCAAACTTCATGAACCCAATTATTAACGAAAATTGAGAGATACTAGAATGGAACATATGCGGCGCGATAACTTTTTTAAAAGTATTAGTGTTCTTGATAACCAGCTAACCTAATGCTTGTATTAGAAGCAGGTTCTTGTCAGTAGGTACTGCATTGGGTAGGTTTCGAACCCACAAGCAATTGACCGCAAATAACTTATATATTATAATAACTTTGTGAATTTCTTGATAAGAAGAGATCAGTTTTGCTGCTTTTATACAGAACTAAATTTCGATATTTTATTTTAATGTCCTACTCCTAAGTAATATAATAAAACTGCGTATAATTATTCCAACAGGCAATTTATTTCTTATCTATATAGAATTACCTGATATCATAGATACTCTTCTGGCATAAACGAAATATGCTTCAAGCTAAAATAAAACTAAGGTATTTTTCCTGTAATTGAATATAACTATATCCTGCATCACGCACTTTTATTTACATTATCAGATTGGATTGTCTCTGCACTGTTACTTGACACAACATTATCATTGTTAGCAGCGCCTTCAATGTTTTTACTTGATTCTTCTAGAACATTTTCGTCAATAAATTCTATACCGTCACTGCTCTTCTGCTCATCACTAGGTTCTGACTGTGCAGGCTCGATGGTTTTAGTACCATTACTTTCTACAGCAGTATCTGTGTTTTCCTTATCGCTTGGAACTACTACTGTTGGTATATCTATTGATGGGGGCTTCTCACTATTAGAAACTTCCGAAATAGCAGGTCGAGCTATAGTACATTCTACTTTTGGTACTTTTACCACAACCACTTGATCAGATACCTTGTCTTCATTAGAAGAATTCTTATTAGGATCCTTTAATTTAATAGTTTGAAATTTCAGTGGTGTTTTAACAGCTTGTGTCCCATCTTTGTTTCTATTTATTGGTTTTATTACTAGTATTTTAGTTTTCATTCCCGCTTTTGTAAAATCTGATATATTTTTGTTTATTAAAGGATTTTTTATGACATCTAAACTTTGACGACGAAATTTTATAGGCGGAATGCTTATTGGCTTCTTGATTTCAATCACAGGTTTGGAGTTATTTTGCTCTTTTGTGGGGTTTGATTCAGTATTCGTTTCTGGAGCAGTTGGTTTAGGAATATCCGTGCTATTGGATGAATCACTACTTTCTGGAGAAGTATTATTTTTTGACACATCATTATTTACTGGTGCATCATTATTTTTAACAGGAACATTGACGAAAACCTTATTAATTGTAGGTTCTTTAATAGGACTAGAGCATTCTTTTCGGTCTTCATTAATGTCTTTCTTTGGAGACACTTTATCTCCTTTAGACAGAGTTCTTGGTAACATTGGCCTAAGAAATATGTTTTGAGGTCGGATTTCTTTTAAAGAGTAAAAACTTGAAGAACTCGTTCGTATATGTGCTGTGGCCCTCTCAACAGATTTCTTGCTCAACGCCATCAATGCTCCACAGCAATCTTTATTCAAATTTTCGTAATTAATTTGTATATCTTGTTGAACCTTTTTCTTGCTTTGATTAGACTTGGCATTTGCTTGCATAACAAGGGCGTCTCTATATCCCTGCGCCTCCATTTTAAGTAAATTCGATAGGTCATATTCAAAATCTTCATTTTTGGGTTTGGTTCTTCTTCTGACAGGTCTCCTAGAAGCGACTGATGCATCGATAGATTGTTTCTTTGTAATATTTTCAACAACATCATCCATGTCGGAAGAATTTTCTTCAAAACTTTTCAAGCTTGAAGATGTGTAACTTTCTACAGTACTTACATTTTTATCGAGGGAAACATCACCATCTTTGCTGTCTTCACCTGCTAAAAGAATTTTTTATTAATTTCACTTGTTATATGTAATTCAAAAAATAAACATTTTAATATTCAAAGCATACCTTTAGTTGCCAAATCTTTTCTTCTCTTTGTTGCACTCTTATTATGGTAAATTTTCCTCTTTCTACTGCCTTCTATTCGAGTACTGCTTGAAGAGCTGTCATCGGACAGACGACTAGAGTCGCTAGAACACCTGCTAGGACGTCCAGAATCAGGACTAGTTTCATTAGCATCACCCATTTCTTCTAAAGGCTCGCACAAATCCAAAGCCTCGGTACCATCGAGAGCTTTCACTGTGCTGAAATAGAAGTCTTTGTCTCCTTTTAACTTATGTACCACTTTGACATGTTCAGGTAGTTTCTCGAATGAATAGCTTTTAAAGTTACACAATTTACAAGCATAACGCATCCATTTCAAATGCTCAGCCATATGGTCATATAGTTCTTGAATTTCATTAAATTGAATGTCGCATCTTTTACATGATAATTTACCTAATTCTATATCAGGCAGAATTTTTTGTCTGAAAGTAACTTGATTACTTTTCTCTGTTTGGTGGGCAAATGGTAACCTTACTGTTAATTTGGGAGCTTCTATATGAGGTCTAATCTCTTTTTCTGGAGATTCTGTGGCATCATTAGACTTATCATCTTCACTGACGTCCATCGGTGCATCTTCTATTTCTTTATCTTCTTCTATCGGTTCTTTTTGTTCTTCTTTATTTGGCTTATTTGTACTTAGTGAGTCATCTTTGGGAGGCTTGTTTTCTGAAAAAAAATACATACAAATATTGCAATAAGTAGAAATCTATACTAATTTGATAGAGCTGCGGTTTTTTGTTAGGTTTTGAACGCGCTTATCTCAGGAATGGTTCGAATTCAAAAATTATTTTAGTGTTGGATAGCCCATGTATCGAGGAAGGCTATAGTCTATATATCATCACGTTACGACCAATAGGAGCCGAGCATCAATTAATAATGTTGCAAAAAGAGGGAAAAGTATTCTATAGCGGGCCGTAGACGAAGTTGCGCGGGTCAGCTAGCATAATATAAAAGATTATGCTGAAAATGTATAGAAATGCTAAAAAAAACGAGTGTGCTTTAGACCACATGAAGTAAAACTTCTTGGCTATGAGAGAAAGAAAATGTGTGCTCGCACCTCTCTCTCTTGCCCCTACAGTAATATACGAAACGTAACTCTCTCTTTCTATCTTCACTACCTTATATCTCCCGCTCAACTGCCGTTCGCCTCGCCTCTTGCCCCTACAGTAATACACGAAACGTAACTCTCTCTCTTCATATCTTCACTGACTTATATCTAACTCTCAACTTCCGTTCGCTTCGCCAGATCACACTTTTCGTAACGCTCTCGTCACGCAGTCACCAGCTTACTCCCCAAGTCAAGCGTGCGTAAAGAAGTTTTACTTCAAAAACTTACCATTGTTTTCAGTAGTTTTCAAAGGAATATTCAAATTAACAGGTGGTCCTTTATTGTAGTCTTTGCGTATTTGTATTTCAATCTTTTTAGTTTCTTGCGGACGTCTAGACAGTGCCCGTGAACGGGGCTGGCAAGTGTGGGTGTGCGCAGCGAGAGCGGCTCGGCGTTCGAACGTCCGCCCACAGCCTCCACAGCGCGGTAACTCACCATCACCTTCCATGTTATCCATCCAAGCCTGGAACAAATATACTTTGTCATCATCATGATCCTGTCACAGTTTAAGGGAGATAGACAGATGAATACTCTTCATTGCACACCATGATTAGGATATAGACAATGTAGAATATCAGATAATAGATCAGTAGAATCTATATAGTAATATGTAGCGTGTGGTGGGCAATTATAATTTACGTATTTTAACTAACATTACATAGCATAATTTAATATTCATACACTGACTATATACATACATACATACACATAACCCATATAGCACATAGTTATTACAGAGATAAATAGTGATTTTAGACGAGTTTTTTAAAACTACCCACTGACTGTGCCCTCTTTATAGCTCCTGGTAACGAATTCCATAGGCGTGCTTGCACCGTAAAAGATTTATCGGTAAAAGTTGTGGAATGTGTTGGAATTTCTTAGGTTCGATTTTTTCGAGAGGTGTGAGCCTATATGTTTAAAGGGTTATCACTAATATGAAAGAAAATTAGGGGTTTTATGGTAGAATTACCAGGTCTCCGTTTGTTAGCAACCCTAGAAGCCACTTTCTACCAAATCGCGTGGTGTGGTGCTGGACCAGTGAACATTTTCAAAAACAGTCTAGACAAATGAACACAAGTGCAGTGATATGCACGCATCAGATCTAGTGTATTATAGAAAGATAATAATAAAATTAATGAAAAAAACAAGCATGAAATTAAATGTAATCTATATAATATATAATCATCCATTTCTATAAATTATTAGAATTATTAGACAACCGAGTTAACATATATAGGTTTGTAAAATGCAGAAATAATTACTTGTTATAGGTGACCTACCTGATTTTCTTGGTCAATCCTTTCTTCTTCTGTAATTTTCTGAGCAATCGGCGCCTTCATATTATTTTTACGTTTTTCATAGAACGCCGGTGGATTATTCATTTTGAAGGCTTTCGCTTGAATTGACTCTCGTAATCTTCTAATTTGTGCCGCTGTTTTTCTGTAAGTATTACAAAATACATACCATATAAAACTAAACATACATATATGTGTATGGTCCATACTAATATCATAAATGCGAAAGTGTTTCTGTTTGTAACCTCTTCAAGCTTAAACTTCTAAACCGATTTCGATGAAATTTGCTATAGAGATAGTTTGATTCTTGAGGAAGGGCATAGGCTTATAGCTTTTGCCCGCGGCTTCCTACCTGCATGTATGTCGGTTATTGCGGTAATTATTAATCCATCCCCCTTTTCAGCCCCTTAAAGGATGATGTCTGGGAATAAAGCTATCCAATATCCTTTTCTGAAACTCAAACTATTTCCATACAAAATCTTATCTAAATCGGTTTGAAGAGTATCAGACAGACACACTGATATGACCGATAAACGTACTACTATGAAACGTAAGTTTTAAAAATTGTACCTGTGTACTTTGAAGAGATGCCTATATACACTCCATGACGTCGAGAAGATCTCCAGACAATCAGGACATGGGTAGACTAGACGAGTTTCAACATGTTTGTACTTCATATGAAACTTGAGGGTCTTTTGGGTTGAGAACTGCATGTCACCTGAAAGTATTCGTTATAAACTGAATTCTAAGAAACTACTGGTCTATGGGTCCATGGCTAGTGATCTTGACTGAGCTAAGTCAGTCAGAGTGAGGGTCGAGGGTTCGATTTCCAACTGGGACAAATTATTGTGTGATGAGATTATTTGTTCTGTGTCTGAGTATAATTTATCTATAACAAGCTGGTGCCCGCGACTTCGTTCGCGTGGAGTTTGAAAATCGCTGCTTAGTGAGGTCGATTCCCGGACAAGGCAAAATTTTATAGGGTTTTTCTAGATGCAAAAATTGCCAAGTTACTCCTTGTATAGACAGGTACTTGGTAGTAAAATATTATCAAAATCGGATTAGCCGTTTTGAATATTACCCGGAACAAACAGACAGACAGACGGACAGAAAGACAGACAAAAAATATTTAAACTGGTTTTTACGGCATAAGTATCGTGCAAATAACCGTGTAACCATGAAAAAACCTATTATTTTGACATTACACAGACACTTCAATTTTATTTATTTGTATAGATATGTATGTGTATTTAGAAGTTTATAAGTATGTTTGTAAGTCCAAGTCCAAGTCCATCGTCTGTCCGTCTGTATGAACGCCATAAACTCAAAAACTACCGGACGGATTTTTGTACGGTTTTCACTAATAGGTAGTGTGATTCCTGAGGAAGGTTTAATGTACAAAATTCATGATGATTTTATGCAAATTGACTGAAATATAACGATTATTGTTGAAGAGGTCCCAAAAAATCTTACGCTGAAAAACCGGGCGAAAAAAGGATGCGGCCGAAGCTAGTTATTATTAAATGAAGGCTTAAAATCACATTCAAGCCTATTTGAATTTATTGAAAAAAAAAAAAAAATTTTGAAAGTAATGTTTGTCTGTTTGTTCTGGTTAATCTCCAAAACAGTTTGACTGACCGAAATATCACTATATGCAGATCTATACACCCTGACTGTTGGCCAGCTAAGCAAGAAGAAAAAATTCAGTATCTCACGGAAATCATAAACAAAATGTACACTTTCAAAGTTTTTTGGTATAAATATTGTCTGCACTCATTATTTATTTATTTATACCATACTATACATTATTATTACAGCTAGACCAATACAATAATGCAAGACTTACAAAAAAAAAAAACAAATCTATGAAAAAATACGTAAAAAATAATAATAATTAAGAACTAGAACTATGTACACTCACTATAAGGTTGATGTATTGACATTACTAGCATAAGCACTATGGGGGTTTAATCGACTCTAACCCATCAAGGAAATCCACCAGTGGATTCTTTATCAGAAATATCAACAAGTGCATTTGTTTCTACTCATTTTCCCTCCATTTTTACCACTGTTACTTTAAAAATTGTTTGTTCTAGATAAACTCATGACTATGTCACCGATGAGGAAGAAAGAGACGTATTAAAAAATAATAATAACCTCACACATCTCACACACCGCCGTCTTATTCAAAACTAGGCAGAGCATGTACTATAATAATATTTCGGACATCTAACACACAACGCCATCTAGTTTCAAATTAAGCAGAAGTTGTACAATAAAAGCTAGATTGACTGATAGAATACTTATGTATTGTTTTTTTTTTTTTGTAAATACATACATATTTCACATAGAAAACACCCAAACTCCGAAACAAATATTTGCAGATTGTACAAACATTTAGTCCGACCCGGGAATCGTACCTGAGACCTCAGCACACCAGTCGCATACGCTACCACTGCACCACCGAAGGAGTAAATGATATGCTATGGTAGGCTATGGTAACCAGATTGCTGATATACTTAAATATTTCTAGATATATACATATTATAGATAAATTACACCCAGACACTGAAGAAATGATCGTCATCATCACATTATTTGTCCAGGATGGGAATCGAACCCGCAACCTCCGGTTTAGCAGTCAGTGTCACTAACCACTAGACCAACAGGACAGTCAAAATGTTTGTTCAATTAACTATTATACTACTAACCTATACAAATAAATAAAATTGAAGTATCTGTTTATAATGTCAAAACCATAGGTTTTTTTCATGCTCACACAGTTATTTGCACGATGCCTATACCATACCAGTTTAAATATTTTTTCTCTGTTTGTTGAGATAATCTTTAAAATGGCTGGACCCATTTTGATAATAATTTTACTACCAAGTGGCTGTCTCTTTAAGGAGTAACTTAAGTGATGTTTCCTCTTACTAAAAACCCTATAAAAAAATTACCGATCCGGGCATCAAACCCGAGGCCTCATTAACTGCAGTACTACACTGCCTTAGCTTTTCATTTTTACACGCGAACGAAGTCGCGGGTACTAGCTAGTTACGTCATAAATTGATTTAATTAGTTATACTAAAATGTTCATTGGAACAACACTATCCTTATAAGTAAATACATCATTAACTAATTTCGTAGGATTGGCAGAACATGATCATGTTAAAAAAAAAGGGTATAATGGTATAAAAATGGGCTGGTATCTACCATCATCATCATCCTTTAATAGTCCACTGCTGGACATAGGCATCTCCTTAGAAAGGACGTTTTGGCCTACTATCCAGGAATCTATTGGCGCAAGCGCTTACCGTCAAAGTTGACATATTTATTTACCAACTTACATGTATACACCCACACACTGTATACTGCCAGAGGTGACAGAGGTGTATTAAAAACTTGAATTATGCTACAATTTAGTCCTCTTGAGATGTCATAATTGGGGCCAAGCAAAATCTGCTATTTACCTAGCACTTATTTATATTCTGGTTGAATAATAATATGACATTTATTTTGTCAAATCACTAATAAATGACCGTATAGTGTTTCAAGCAGACTTTTGAAAACTATTTGTAGATTAATCACATTATTTCTCATGGTGACCAGAGGTTAGGTAACGGTTACCAAAGCTCATCAACAGCCTATAACAGTGCACTGCTGGACATAAACCTCTCCTTAGAAAGGAGGTTTTGGCCTACTATACCATGCTGGCCAGACGGGTTGATATAGGGCTTCTTTTAAGTTTTCCTTCTCTTTGCAGTGCTGTTATCCTGCGTAGTTTACTCCCTTAGTCGGCTCTTACGACACCCACGGGATGAATAGGGGTGGTGACATTCCGTATTCTTAATCCGTCAAAACACAGACCAAAGCTCAAGTAATATAATTAAACTAGCTGATCCGGCAAACGTTGTATTGCAACAAAAAAAAAATTAGGGATGGGTCACCCTTACCATTCAAAATTGTGAATCTAAACCATTCCCAGATCCCCTTGAACACACACAAAAAATTTCATCAAAATCGGTCCAGTCGTTTGAGAGAAGTTCAGTGACATACACACTCACAGAAGAATTATATATATAAAGATATCCACTTCAATACTATGACGCTACCACTATGTCACATACATGAGAATCTTAATATAAAAATCTGAGTATTACTTACAGATTTTACATTTCAGGATGTTAGTACCATCATTGTCCTCATCATCACTTATCTGTATAACATTATCAGGTTCTATGGCACCAGAACTTTTAATTTTAAAGTTACCATCACTCTGCATTACCGCTGTATCTCTTGATAGGATGTTGTCCAGTTCTTTTACCTTCAAAATACAGTTATTACATAATATCGAAATAATCATAATATAGTTATTGACGACCGGATGGCATAGTGGTTTGTGTAACGGACTGCTATTCCAAAGGTCGCGGGTTCGATTCCCGCTCAAGTCAAACATTTGTATGCATGAACATTTGATGTTTGATTTGGTCTGGGTGTTTCTATGTATAATATGTATGTATTTACAAAAAAAAAAGTATATATGTATTTATATCAGTTGTCTAGTACCCATAGTACAAGCTCTGCTTAGTATGGGACTAGATGGCGTTGTGTGTATGTGGTAGAATATTATTATTATTTTATTATTAATAATATGCACTATGTATCAATTCATTCGTGATTTTTTTTAATTATATATATATATTAGGGGTGTGAGGGGCGAACCACCATCTTTCGCCCCAAGCCAACCTCACCTGCCCGCGGTGCATCCTGCTGAACGACGAACGAGGCTCTGGCGACCGACCGATGGCGGTATATCCATCCCAATAGGCGTAGCTAAATACAACAGGCCGGTGACGGGCAGCAGCGTTACCGGTGCGACAAGCTACGCCCTGCGATCGCCAACCCGCCTGCCCAGCGTGGCGATTATGGGCAAACCCCTCCCATGCAGACGCAACAAAGGCCACGGCCCCCAGTTCCCGGCGGCCCCGCTATTCCTGGTCATGGTGGCGACCACGGTAAAGGCGGGGCAGGGGGTGCGAAGAATCTCCGGGCTACGGGAGGCCACCACAACCGACTGACCCTGGCTACGTACAACGGACGCACGCTACGGCTAGACTCGCATCTGGCGCAACTTGAGGTGGAACTTGGGAAGATTAGGTGGCATATCCTAGGGCTATGTGAAGTCCGAAGAGAGGGGGAGGACACCATAACCCTCGAGTCAGGCCACCTAATGTACTTCCGCGAGGGAGACCAACAATCCCAAGGTGGGGTTGGGTTTCTGGTAAATAAGTCCCTATCTGACAACGTTGTGGAAATTTCCAGTGTGTCGAACAGGGTAGCGTACCTCATTATCAAGCTCACCGAGAGGTATAGCCTCAAGGTTGTGCAAGTGTACGCACCGACCTCGGCACATTCGGACGACGAGGTGGAGGATATGTACGATGACATATCGAGGGCCCTCCACTTCACAACTAAGACCCACTACAACGTTGTTATGGGTGACTTCAACGCTAAAGTGGGAGTACAGAATTGCGGCGAATCGGTAGTAGGATCCCATGGATTTGGAAGCAGGAATCATAGGGGGCAAATGCTGGTCAACTTCCTCGAACGGGAGGGGCTGTTTTTGATGAATTCTTTCTTCAAGAAACAGCCCCAAAGGAAGTGGACGTGGCAAAGCCCCGACGCTATGACCAGAAATGAGATCGATTTCATCATGACGGATAGAAAGCACATATTCAGAGACGTCTCAGTGATCAATAGGTTTAATACCGGTAGTGATCACCGACTTGTCCGGGGCTCTCTGAATATCAACTTTAAGGCGGAACGTGTCTGTTTGATGAAATCCAGGCTCCGACCAACTCGGCTCCAAGCCATGACAGGATCTGAAACGTTCCAGTCAAAATTGGAAAACCGATTCGCTGCCGTGGAAACCACAATCGACGTAAACCAGAACCTCAAAAATGTGGTTCAGATCCTCAGGGAAGAAGGTATGAGATTTTGTGAAATGCAGCGTAAGGGCAGGAAGTCGAAGCTTTCAGAAAGGACCCTAGGGCTGATGAAGAAACGACGTGAAAACCCACCTGTCACTTTGTCGGCAAAGCGGACTCTAAACCGAGAGATCAGTAAACTCGTACGACACGACCTCCGGTGCTCCAATACTCTTTCAATTGAAAGAGCGATCGAGCAAAATCGGGGGTCAAAAGTGTTCGTACAATCTCTTGGAAGAAGCCACCTGACAAAGTTGACTACAGAAAGTGGAGAAGTCGTTGCTTCGAAGCCGGCAGTCCTTTTGGAAGTGGAAAGCTTCTATGGCCGGTTATACGCTTCGCATGCATCTCGACCTGATCCCGAAAATGAGGACTCTAGAGCCACATTAACACGTCACTACACCGAAGACCTGCCAGAAGTTAGCATTGACGAAATCGAGATGGCTCTTGGACAGCTGAAAAATGGAAAAGCCCCTGGAGAGGATGGCGTTACAACAGAGCTGCTGAAGGCCGGGGGTAAACCCGTACTAAGGGAGCTCCAAAAGCTCTTCAACGCTGTCCTGTTTGAAGGGAGAACTCCAGAAGCGTGGAGTAGGAGTGTGGTCGTTTTGTTCTTCAAAAAGGGTGACAAGACCAGGTTGAAGAACTATCGACCCATATCCCTTCTAAGCCACGTCTACAAGCTGTTTTCGAGAGTCATCACGAACCGTCTTGCGCGAAGACTCGACGAATTCCAACCACCGGAGCAAGCTGGGTTTCGGAGCGGATATGGCACCATAGACCACATCCACACAGTGCGGCAGATTATACAGAAGACCGAAGAATATAATCAGCCCCTGTGTCTAGCATTCGTGGACTATGAGAAAGCCTTTGACTCGATCGAGATCTGGTCTGTTCTGGAGTCCCTGCAGCGTTGCCAAGTAGATTGGCGATACATCAAAGTGATGAGATGTCTCTACGAAGCCGCCACCATGTCCGTCCAAGTACAGAATCAGCAAACAAGGCCCGTACCATTGCATCGAGGAGTGAGACAAGGGGACGTTATTTCCCCGAAATTGTTCACAAATGCAATGGAGGACATGTTCAAGACGCTGCACTGGAAAGGGCGTGGCATCAATATCAATGGCGAATACATCTCTCACTTGCGATTTGCAGATGACATCGTCATCATGGCAGAGACGTTGCAGGACCTACAGCAAATGCTGAATGACTTAGCTGACACTTCTGTACGCATCGGCCTACGGATGAACTTGGATAAAACCAAGGTCATGTTCAACGAACATGTACTACCGGAACCGATTGCGGTACACGGTGCCGTTCTCGAAGTTGTTCAAAATTATGTGTACCTCGGGCAGACATTGCAGTTAGGTAGAAACAACTTCGAGGACGAGGTGAACAGAAGAATTCGGTTGGGTTGGGCAGCGTTTGGGAAGCTACGTCGAGTCTTCTCATCGTCGATCCCACAGTGCCTTAAGACGAAAGTCTTTAATGAGTGCGTCCTACCCGTCATGACATACGGAGCTGAAACGTGGACACTTACGGTACGGCTGGTCCACAAGTTCAAAGTCGCTCAACGTGCTATGGAAAGGGCTATGCTCGGCGTTTCTCTAAGGGATCGCATCAGAAATGAGGTGATCCGGCAGAGAACTAAGGTCACCGACATAGCGTACCGGATCAGCAAGTTGAAGTGGCAGTGGGCTGGCCATATTAGCCGCAGAACCGATAACCGTTGGGGAAAACGAGTTCTTGAGTGGAGACCGCGTCTCGGCAAACGTAGTGTAGGACGCCCACAGGCCAGGTGGAGTGACGATTTGCGCAAGATAGCTGGCAGGAGCTGGATGCGAGAAGCCCAAAATCGATCTAAGTGGCGTGCAATGGGAGAGGCCTATGTCCAGCAGTGGACTGCGATAGGCTGATGATGATGATTATATACAAACTACATTTATTTACTTAGTTAATAAATAAAAGTAAATTAATAAACTAGGCAGAGCCTGTACAATGGTGAACAGACTGCTTATAAACATATTTATATACTTCTAAAAGTTAGTTAAAGATAAATTACATTCAGGAAAAGAACAAATGTTCATGTTTATCATATAGGTATTTGTCATAGATGGGAATCGAAACCACTACCTCTGGCGCAGAAGTGAGAATTACTAACCACTATGCCTACAGGCCAGTTGCTGTAAAATTAGCACAATAAGACAACTAATAATATTATATATAACCTACATATAAGATAACATACTTGCACTCTCATATCATCCATATGCATTTCTTTGCTTGTCTCAATGTTTTGAAACATAGCAACGGTGCTGTTTGGAATTTTTTGCAACGCTATTTGTGGCTCATCACAACTATTTTCATAGGAACCTTTACTGTTGGCAATTTTTTCAATTATCGTTGTTAAATCCTTTGATAAAGGTATACGGTCATCTACATCATTTTCATCTTTGTTTTCTGATTTGCTACTTTCTTTAAGTGATTCCTGATATCCCTGTTCCAAGCGTTTGATCTTCATTATCTCACTGACCTGAAAGAATAGAAATTGAATAATGAATCAACATATTCTACGTAAAAACAATAATATACAATATAATAAAGATATGACACTCACCATAGAATTACTCTTCACAAACTGACTATGTATGTTGGTATTAAACTTCTCTTTGCAATATACACGTTTATGAGATATAAAATTAGCCAAACTTCTAAATAAATTCCGGCACACTTTACATTCATATAATAAATCACATTCCTTAGATAGTAAGTCTTTGAGCTAAAATAAAATGCATCATACTTATTAAAAAACAATATTGTTTACACAAACAATAGACTATTTCTTCAAAGTGTTATAGAGACTACTTACTTCTGCAGTAGCCATGTCAAATATTTTCCTTACTTGACCAAAGCCTGTTATACTGGTAGGTATTGGTTTTCTAAGCAAAGCAAAATCAGGTTCCTCAACATCTTCATTTGTTTGTCCAATAGTTTTAGGGTTTGTTTTATTTTTATCTTCTCTCCCTTTTGCTTTGGGATTCATCTTATTGCCTGCCATCTCATATCTGAAAGTATAAGCAAATAAATACATAAATACTTACAAAATTTGACAATATGTATTTTTTTAACTAAAAGTTTTGAATAAAAACATTTATTTACATAAAGTCGAGTGTTTTTCATTATCAATCCAAATTATCTATGACGCTGTTTTGGTTGGCACCGTTTTGTATAACGCTGACCATTCTGACCAACCATATTGACAATGAAGTAACAGATAAAACTTTACACATAGATATATTAGAGAATTTAACAATACGCCTATTATAATTACGTAATTAGCTTAATATTGCATCTCAAATTATAATCTTATCTCATATCTTGCCCAAGCATGGTAATATCGTATTCCGCAGCAACCAAGACATTCGCCGTCTCTCCCTCAAATATACACAATAACACAGGCATGTAAGTCATAAAAATAGATTCAAATAACATTATAGGTCACATAGATTACGTTAAGAGTATTTGAATATGTTTACTCACGTGTTAATCCTCACAACCGCAAACTTGAAAATCTTAGACTTGCGACAACAGCACCTCCATCACGCCTCCATTTTCAACAAATGAATATCACCTATAGTGCGTAACTTCTGTGTTCTCATGGCCATGAGTAAGCTGACTAAAAACGAACATGCAAAAAAGTTTCTCCAAAGAGTTTTTTTAAGAAAAAATCCTAGTATAAAATTAAGATAAAATAAAAATAAGTAACTAAATAATTCGTTTTGATTTAGAGAAAATAAAAATATATTAATTATCTATTAGAGGGGATATAGATTACAAAAACGATAACTCTGGTACTAGCTAGGTAGAAGAGTAATAATACTTTAAAATTCCAAAATTAAGACATCTGCATTCTGAAATGTAATTATTTAATTTAAATTTATTTTATAAATTTTAGAAAGAAAGCTCTTCCAAAAGTTATATTTAAAAATACTTTTACGTTTTTATTTATGATCACTTTTTTTGTTTTAACTGCCATTTTTAATCTGTTAAACTTTCGTTCAAAATTGACAGTTGAATCCATGGACGCCAAATTCTTTTCGTCACGAAATGACAATTAATGCTTTAAACTATATTTTAAAAATTAATCTATAGATGGAGCTCGGAAAAGAGAAAGTTGACCATTGTAGTCCTCAGTATTTTGACGTAGCTCTGCGCCATCTTCACAAAACTTCTATTCCCATCACTTGGATAGTTGGCCCTCCACCATCCACCACTGAAGCGTTTTCCAAGAAACTTTTTGTCTCGCACAACCAATCTGTAAAACAAATTGTCACCTGCGGTATTTTAGGAAAGAAACGACCTCCGAAGGCCAGTAACGTGCCAGCTTTCAAATTGCGCCATCCATGGGCGGCGGTAGTAACTTTCCATCAGGGACCCGTCTGACACCTTTTCATAGTATACTATGAAAGAAGAGTAATATCAGAGGGATTGACCCTCTGAAATTACTCTTTTTTCATAGTATCGTATAATATACGTATACGTATCGTGGTCTCGTAAAAAACATATTTTCATTACGGGAATTAGCCTTCCTAGTTATTTTGCTTTTGGTGAGGACATGAAGACCGATATACGAAAAAGACACTTCTTGTTCCCTTGGGGAAGTCCTTCGTTCGATTGCCATTGCCATTGATACGAATACCTATTAAGTAACTATTTGATTTATGTGCTTGTGTTTTAATAACGTCTAAAAATGTATTATTGTATTTCGTAATTCAAATATCTGAAAGTGAAGTACATAGTTGTATTTAGTATTTAAATACTTGTAGCCCTGGATCATGTTTGAGTGAGTCATGCTTGGGCCCATACAAGTGCTTTGTACAAGTGGTTGCTTTTTACAGAGTGAGTGGGGTTTTAATTCTTACACTGCATCATAAGAAAAAGGAACATGGCTTCGGAAAACATTTTTACACAATAACATTTAGAAATTGCAATCATATTGTTGTGCAAGGTATGTAAGATCGAGGCTTCGTCGGTGTTAGCAGGTGTGCTTTCGGTCGATCTTGGGGTGCAAAGAAATGTAGCAATGTACTTTTCAACACTAAACAACATAAATGTGAATTTTAAATCACAAGATTGCTTCAACAGTCCGATGTCTTTATTTACCTCATGGACGAGTGGCAACAACGGTTTGATAAATCATCTAATTTTCATCCATTCACGAGCGGTTCTCGAGAACATGGTTTGAGCTGGATCACTGTATCACTCAAGTTCTTATAGCTCATGGTAACTTTAAAAGGAAACTCCATGTCACCATTGTATCAATACCAATACCTGTGTACAGTCTGCACATCATATCCTCTTTGGTACAATGGATATAATATAATGCTGACTAGCTTACAGGTGACGTCTCGAGCGTTATACTCGGAGCGATTCTGCACATATTTTGGGAATGAAATCACTTAGGATCAGGATCTATAATGTTTTGGTTAAGTGGTGCTTCCGTATAAGGATGTACGCCTTTTTATTTCATTTCTTTCCCCACTTTTCTAAGGAGTAAAGTATTGTAATTAATTTCGTTACGAGTTCCAAGACAGCTTTTGCTGTTGAACTTGGTATACAGGATGTATGTATGTATGGATGGTGTACAGTGGCAGGCATGTGGAAAGGATTAGTCCCATAAAAAAATGCAATTAGTAAGTCAGGACACTGAAGAGTAGTACCTCAAAGGTTCAAACGTCTCTTTATTCACAGAACAGAGAAGTATACCAATTTTTTTTTATACCTTCAAAACGAGATTTGCAAGAAAGTATTTATAATCACGTCATTTACCACAGCTTCATACCTTAAAGTCAATAGCTGACATACTTACTAGCATAAATACCTACATAACTTGAGATGTCTGATTTTGACATAGTAAAATTATTAATAGTTTATTTTTAAACTTAGCTTTGATAGATAAGTTTATAAATTAAGTTATAGATGCCGCTAGCAAATCAAACTACATTTGACAATTCGTTTACCATTTTAATGTCAAATGACTGTCAAACTGGGTTTACCTACCTATGACTTGTACATTGTGAAGAGACCGGTGAATTTTAATTGAGAAATTTACGTATGTAATCAATAAAAATTGTATCAACTCAGTCTTGTAAGATGACAAATATAATCTAATTCTGGTTTATTTTAGTAATCATGGCGTCTGGTGAAACTCACTCAGTTGAAAACCAGCAAAGAAGGTGGCTTAATTTAAGAAAATTATTGGAAAGATCGGGACCGTTTAGCCATCCAGATTTTGAACCTTCAGCTGAAATTCTGGACTTTATTATGGACTCGTGTAAAGTCCTAATAGTAGGCGCTGGAGGTCTTGGCTGCGAACTTCTGAAGGATTTAGCTTTGATGGGTTTTAAAAAACTTCATGTCGTTGATATGGATACAATAGAGCTTTCTAACTTAAATAGACAGTTTCTATTTAGAAAGAATGATATCGGGTTATCTAAAGCTAAGTGTGCTGTTGAATTTGTCAACAAAAGGTTAGTCTAAATATTATTTGTAATTCTTGATGCCTTAATTGTGTCTGTCGCCTGGATCGCTCCTATTCATCCCGTGGGTGTTGTAACTAAGAGAGCAAACTAGGCAGGACAACAGCAATGCAGAGAAGGAAAACTTGTAACATACCCAAAACCCAATCCTTCTGGCAAGCATACCTATTATACAGTACTATACTATACAAGTAGGGTAAAACCTCCTTTCTAAAGAGAGACCTGTGTCTTGCAGTGGAATACTAAAGGCTGTTTGAAGTGAAGAAGTGAATTACAAACAGTGTGGTGTTAGTGGATCTAATTCTAGCCGACCACCCCAAAAATTAATTATTATTTGTAATTTGTTCTGATAATAAATAGTAACACTGTTCCTAAAATAAAAATGTCTTTTCAGAGTACCAGGTTGTGAAGCTGTGGCTCACCACTGTTCTATTCAGGATTTGGATGAAGGTTTCTATAGGCAGTTTCATATTGTAGTCTGTGGTCTTGATTCCATAGTTGCCAGGAGGTGGCTTAATGGCATGCTCATGTCCTTACTGCAGTATAATGATGATAGTAAGTCAAATTATATTAAATCTTGACGATACCATACCATACTTGACGACCAGATGGCATAGTGGTTTGTGTAACGGACTGTTATTCCAAAGGATGCAGGTTTGATTCCTGCTTAAGTCAAACATTTGTGTTCATGAACATTTAGTATCTGGTTTAGACTGGGTGTATTTCCAAAAAAAAATTGCATGTATTTATATCCACTGTCAAGTTTAGGACTCGATGGAGTGAATGTGGTGGAATATTATTATTGGCATAATAATGGCATAGTTGACAATAAAAAAAAATTTTTTTTTACTTTCAGGGAGCTTAGATCAAAGCAGTGTAATTCCATTTGTGGATGGAGGAACTGAAGGGTTCAAAGGGAATGCAAGGGTTATACTACCTGGGATGAGTGCTTGTATTGAGTGTACCCTTGATTTGTACCCGCCACAGAAAACGTTTCCACTGTGCACCATTGCCAACACACCGAGGTAATATTTTCATGGTCGAAGTAAAAACAACTTATGTTACATTAGGTAGGAACTGACATTACTACTGGGGATTGCTGTTACGGCTACCGTCACAAGTAAGGTAAAAAATTTATTTCGCTACTGTTACTTGGGTGTATGCTGAAAAAATTATTCTCTGTTCATTAGTTTTGGGTTATACAATAGTTCTTGTAGTAACAAAATGGCGAAACCACATATTTGGACTAAGATGTAGAGTTTTTGGAGTTACGGCGTGTAGATTTAGAATCTAGGCTCTACATGAGATCTGATAACATGTTGACAGTGCCATATTTAACATGTAAACGATTTTGATGGGATTAATTTATACCTGTTTGTTTTCTAATTTTTCAGATTACCTGAACACTGTATTGAATACGTAAAAGTTCTCCAATGGGCAAAAGAAAACCCCTGGGGCAGCAGCACACCTATTGATGGCGATGACCCTCAACATGTTGCGTGGGTGTTTGAGAAGGCACAAGACAGGGCCATTAAGCATGGCATTTCTAATGTTACATATAGATTGACACAAGGTGTTTTGAAAAATATTATTCCAGCTGTTGCTAGTACGAATGCAGCTATTGCTGCTTGCTGCGCCACTGAGGTAAGCATGGATTACATTCACATATACACTCACTCCTCATTTCCGTTCGTGGTAGGTAGTTACGATACACAGTTAGTGCTTTTTTAACATTCATCTGACCCCATATAGATCTAGTGGACTTTTATATACTGCTAGAATGTAATACCTATTATATTCCATAAATTTGAAGCAAAAGATTGGTCTTTATTTTAATCATATAGGTAGCAAATTTGGCAGACGGGTCACTTATTAAGTGACTATCACCGACACTATCACACGTTCGTAACGGCTCTATGAGTGCCCACCTCCCCAGATTTAATAATCATAATAACTGGACACATGTCTCACACGGCTGTCTGATCCCAAAGTAGGCAGAGCACTTAAATATTTCTACACCCAGACAGAGAACAAATGAATGTTCTCACTCATTACACAATGATTTGTTCTGGGTGAAAATTAAACCCACGACCTCATGTTTACCAATCAGGGTCACTAACCTCTCACAGACCAACAGGTCAGTCTGGAGGACGGGTTTGGACCTCCGATGCCCTGCTTCACTGTAAAAAAGGGTGAAAACCTACGAAAGAATAGGGTAGATTTCTAGGTTTAAAATAAATTATTTCACCTGCATATTCAATGTAACATCTTAAAGTAGAGCCTGAATTGTACTCTATTATCAATTTAATATTTTTATTGATTTCAAATCTTGATGCGATAATAGCTAGGTGTGACTTTACGAAATAGTGTTACATACAAAAATGTGAAGCGTCTAGCGTTTTGACGTTTAAAAAAGATACTGATTTCACTTGATAGTCATCTACCACCACCACCACCAACAGCCTATAACCTAATGGCATTAAGTCCGCCTTTGTACAATATGTGCATTAAGTTTAAAATAAAATAAATAAATAAATATAACAGTCCACTGCTGGACATAGGCCTCTCCTTAGAAAGGAGGTTTTGGCCTACTATACCACGCTGGCCAAACGGGTTGGTATAGGGTTTATTTCAAGTTTGCCTTCTCTTAGCAGTGCTGTCGTTCTGTGTAGTTTGTTCCCTTAGTCGGCTCTTACGACACCCACGGGATGAATAGGGGTGGTGACATTCCGTATTCTTAATCCGTCACCACACGTCATCTACCCTCATCTACCTTATTGCTTAACGCTGGTTTTGTGTGGACCCATAGCTCTCCTACTCTAGCTCTGATTTTTTGGCGTTTTGACGACTACACTTGAAAGGTTAAAGCATGTTTTTAATCTTAATAAACTAATATTACTAAAAAACTTGAAATATGCATTTGATTTTACAGGTCTTTAAACTGGCATCGTCCTGCTGCACAAACATGAATAACTATATGGTGATGAATATTGCTGATGGAGTCTACACATACACATTCAATGCTGAGCGTAAACCAGACTGTGTGGCTTGTAGTAACACCACGCGGGTCGTTGAATTAGAACCTGATGCGACTTTGCAGACCATCTACGACAAGCTCTGTGAAGATCCAGCCTTTATGATGAAAAGTCCAGGTTTGTACATTTTATCATACTCATTGTGTGCTCTATCCCGGCAAAATAATTTCGTAAATAATCATTTAAATGTTTCAGATAGTAGATAGTCCATTCGCGTTAAGAAAATGGTGACGCATTCATCAAGCCCCAAACTTTAAACAATCAGTTCCAAGTGAAAGCTTACGAAAAAATAATTTCATGGAACCTGGTTCGTCAGGGGGCGGGGCTTGATCGATGCGTTACCATTTTTTTCTCCTCTTCTTCTTACTAGTTTCATAATGCACATGCAATGCTAAACGATAAAGGTTATGATCATTTTCAATTTTCAATAAAAGACATTACATAGTTTATGGAGTTACGTCCTTTCCGCTGAAAATGAAAAATTAAAATCGCTATTTTAATTGCACACCAGATATATCCTCATTGAGATTTTATTGCGAATGCATATAAAAATTGATCGTTTTTAAAGGTATAACAACAGTGATCAACGGCCGAAACAAGACATTATATATGTCATCAATAAAGAGCATTGAAGAAAGAACAAGAGATAATTTAAAAAAGAAAATAACAGAATTGGGTTTATACAATGGCGTTGATATCCTGGTGGCGGATGTCACCACACCAAATACTGTTACAATAAAGTTAAAATTTGCCGACAGCCAAGATGTCGAAATGGCGCGATAGTTATTTTTCTATTTATAATATCTGTATTTTAATTAAACTAACTACGTAACGCAAATGTTGTTTCCTTTTCTTTTTTCAAATATATACATTATTATATTTATTTTATATTATTGTGAAATGAATGTGGTTGTTTATTAATTTTGTTAGAATTTTTGCAATTTTTTTAATTCTGCCCTACCCTCATGTAAAGGATACATTATAAGATTTCTTATGTAAGACTTTATCCTATTTTCCTAAATTTTTCCAAAAGTTACTTGTGATTAAAATATTATCAGATATATTAATACCCAAAATTTCATGTACCTAAATCGAAGGTAATTATATGGATCAATCGTGGAACATTAGACAAAATGAATATAGCTTATCTGGTATTGAAAATAGCTTTATTGCTTTTCTTACTAACCGGTATCTGGCTAAATAGCTATTAGTTGCATTCCTAATTTCAATACCGGAACTGAGACAGCTTATTTTATCGATGGTATCACCTAAGGCCTAGATAATTATGAGTTTTTCCGAAAATTATGATACTATCGATACCTGTTTGAATAAGAATAAAATACTATTGCTAGATTTCTATAGTATCGATACCATTTCAATAACATACCAAAAATGAGTTGCTTATCGATATAGAAACTATCGCTATAGCAACATCACTTATTTCTATCAGTCAAGTAATGTAAATGATCAGTTAGCAAATAGCAATATCCTAAAAACAGTTAATTTTAACTGAAATCACTGTCCTTATGTATTACACAAGTTTGGTACAAATATTTTTTTCCACTTATGTATACCACATAAGAATTTATCAACTACAAACAAAAGGCTTTTCACGCTGTTTGAAAAAAAACATTAGTTGACATAACATTATATACAGGTAGTTTACATATTTTTAAAGTCTAATTTTACAAATTCTGGGACAGGTCTTCTACCCGCACCCATAATAAAAGACATCGACTATGAATGACACTGTGACAGTTGTGACACTGACTGTATGTTGACACTGCAGATCTATCATCTATCTGTCATTTTTGTCAATATTGGAATAGTGAAAACACAGACATTTTAGTCTTAAAATTCCCTACATATTTTAAATATGATATGGTTAACTGAAGAATTTGATAACTTAAATCGGTATTTTATTAACTGGGATCTCGATTAATAATAATTTTAGAATAAAAATAACTGTTTACAGAATTATATAATAACTGATTCAAACAAATTTGTTTCGTTTTTATCTCACAGGAATATTTGTGGATACCTACAGAAGTCTTAAATAAAAATAGTTTCAAATTAAGAGTAGTGAATATTTGAAACTACACGCATATTGAAGTTTGTAAGTTACCGTAGATGATACATAATACAATATTTTATTTATATTATATTTATATAGAATATATTATGTAATATTTTATAATTGTTTCGTTTTTCACGAATTTGATTGTGTGAGTGTGACGTGATCAGCTCTATAGTCTAGAATGTTAGTCGATCGATACTCGATAGTATTTGGTTTAAGATGTAAGAAATCCAAAAAATATTAATAAATAATATTTATGTATCCTCAAGTAAAAAACAATATTATGAAATAGGTAATCAGTGTGAATAAAGAAAAATTTTAAACGTGTCATGTCCTCGATACATTTTTTCGACCTCTAGTTCACTGACGTGGTGCTGTCGACGAAAAGACAACAGGGAAAGGCGATAACCACAAACTGAAATATTTTTCCCGTAGTTCTTGTAGATTAAATTATACCGAAAACAAAATGTTGGACAGTATATTTGACGATGTAAAGCGCATGAACAAACGGCAGGTAATGTTTCATTGAGCAATTTGAAATGCCATCAATAACAAACCGGCTGGTATTTTTACATTTTTAATTTTCCAATTTCAGTTTATCTACCAAGTGTTAAGTTTTGGAATGATAGTTTCATCAGCCCTGATGATATGGAAGGGTCTCATGGTTGTTACTGGTAGCGAAAGCCCCATAGTCGTAGTATTGTCTGGCAGTATGGAACCTGCTTTCCACAGAGGTGATTTATTGTTTTTGACGAACTATCCTGAGGAGCCAGTGCGTGTCGGAGAGATTGTTGTCTTCAAAGTAGAGGGACGTGACATTCCAATCGTCCACAGAGTTTTAAAGCTGCATGAAAAGTTAGTATCTGTACCTTTTCTTATGGAAAATACCTATAATATTTCTACATTCAGTTGTGATTATTATAATTGTTACATACTCGTAATTTGGCGAATGTTCTCATTAAATGGAATTTACAAGCAAACTTTTTGTAGGTTTATAAATAAAAATAAAAAATTGTTTGTAGTTTTTTAAAATGATGTTGTTTTTTATTTTTCAGGAACAATGGAACAGTGAAATTCCTAACCAAAGGTGACAATAACAGTGTAGATGATCGAGGCTTGTATGCCCAGGGACAGCTATGGCTTACAAAAAAAGATGTTGTTGGTCGTGCAAGAGGGTTTCTACCTTACGTTGGCATGGTTACAATTTATATGAACGAATATCCAAAGTTTAAGGTAACAGTTGTTTATTTCTTGGATTTTGTAAATTATCTTAGCTTTTAGTTAGTTGTTAAGTTTCCAGACAGGCTTTTTGGTGTAATTCTTACTGATCCAGACTAATAATTCAGAGGTTGTGAGTTCACTTCCCACCCAGGACAAATATTGTGGGATGAGCACAATCATTTATGTGTCTGGGTGTAATCCCTGTAAAAAAAATTATTGTGTCACAATGTTTATGTTCATACTCCTCCGAAATGGCTTGACCAATTTTTATGAATTTCTATTTGTGTATTTGTTAGGTATGAAAATCGGTCCTAAAGTATATTTCACACCGCTAAGAACACACATGTAGGCGAAGCCGCGAGCGGCAGCTAGTATATGTATAATATATATCTATTTACAAAACATAAGTATGTTTATTTAGAAATCAACATGCCCGGTTGTTAGCAATAAGCTTACTTCTTGTCTACTCCTTCATCTATGTATGTGTATGTATATACATATATGACAACCAATTATTAGATTTAAAATGTTGAGATGATGGAGATTTCATATGTATTTAAATCTCTTCATTTGGTTGTCAGCTGTGGTTATAATCATAATATACATTTTAAATTTCTATTTGTGCAAAAAATGAGTAGGTACATAGCTGTTATGTAAAATCTTAAAATATGTTATTTTGTTTACTTTTAATAATTTAATTCTTAAATTTGATATAATCATAATCATCCTTATTATTATGGATTGTATGATTTTAAAGTGCACATTATTTTTGTTTCAATTCAGATATTTAGAACAACAATAATAGAATTGTAAAACAGTCATTTATGAAAACTTGCAAAAGATGTATTTAATTAAATTCAGTTCTCTTTCTATCATATAATTTTTAAAGTCATTTTAATAGCTCCAGCCTAGTTATTATAACCTGCTTTGAGCTATGATAATAAAAAAAACAGATTGATTATTAATTTTGGTTAATTTTATATTTTCAGTTTGCTGTGCTGGCGTGCTTAGCAATGTATGTGCTCGTGCACAGGGAGTGACATCTTTAATTTGATCTGAAGTGTTGTTGAAGACCATTTGTGAGGGGGATGCATTGGCACTGTGGATGTATAATTTTATGATTAAATGAAAGTTTTCTTTAGTGTTATTTTACTAAACTCATTTATACTCAAGTCTTTTCTGATTAAATTAAATTTGTTTTTATCTCAACTGATTAATAATACTGATGTGATTTAATAAGTAATAAGAGAAATAAGGGGAAAACGATCACACGTGTCACCTGGTGAAAGTCACGACCGCCGCCCATGAACGCTCGCAACTCCGGAGGCACATCCTTCCATCACAGGCATCCTTATTTATGGTCTAACAGTTGTCTGCTTTTAAATCTTTATTGCAATGGCTTATTTTATGACATTAGAATGTAATTAATTAGTGTTATAAATCAAGCACTAAAATTATAAAGTTTGTGTGACTTCTTCACCCTCAAACGGTTGGACCGATTTTGCTATACTTTGGTATAGAGGTAGCTGACACCTGGACTCAAAAAAAGTCGCGTGCAAAGTCCTTGGCCTGACAAATGAGGAGAAAGCATCTGAATGCATATTTGTCTATTTCATGGTGGTAGTAGCTATATAAATACCGCCAGTGACTGGACATTATTAGTGGACACGTACGAAAATCATTACAGAATATCGGAGGATATCTGTGCCCAGACGTCCAGACCAGAGATATTTCTTAATGCAATGTCGAATAAGCGTGTAGTACTAGTAGAACTGACGGTACGGAAGACGAACATTCCTAAAGACCATGCTTTAAAAAGAAACAAGTACTTTGTCTTATCTAACGAAATGACCAAAAATGACTATTTCGTTGCGTTGTAGGCTGTGCATGCGGGTGCGAGTTACCAGCTAAATCCCTTTACCTACTTAAGGACCTTGGACTGCCAAGAGCTTCAGTAAGCTCTCTTTTCTTGAACGAATATAAAAGGCGGCAATGCTAGGTATCAATCAAATCGTATCAAATATGGTAAGGTAGAGGGGGTAACACAGTAGACAGTGGAGGTGAGCGTTGACGCGTCGCAAGGAGTACTCCCTAAACCTACTCCTGGGTCGCAATTCGAAGGCACTGTCGAAGTCGTGTGCGTTACCCCAGCAAAATAATGTCGAAAATGGTCATTTAAATGTTATAGATAATTAGTTGCTCCCCTTCTGTAATTGTTAGGCACATTTTTAAATTTGTTTCACTTAAACTTTTTTAGGTATTTCAAAAAAACATTTCCTGCTGGGGTAACGTTTGAAACATTACCGCAGCCAGACATTTTCTTTTTTAATTGTAATATTGAAATAAATGTTAGCTAAATAATTAGTTATCTGGACTAGGTAAATGTACAACTTATTTGGTATTTGTATTTTCTTCGGCTGCGAAGTTATTCGAGATCCTGCTGGAGTAACGTTTGTGGGTTTGCTGAATCTCTGAAACGGGTAAGCGGATTGTAACCATCTTTTGTACATAACTTCTTAAGGATTAGTTTTAATTTGTTCGACAATAAAATAACAAAAATAATAGACCGTTTAAAAATTATTTAGGTAAGTATGAAAACACTTCAATACGTCCTAACACTTTGAATAAGACCTCTAAAGACTTACTTCAAACGTTATTCTATTGCTTGTAACTACCTTCAAATGTATACGAATTTTCGTAAGTATACTGTAAGTGGCTAAAAAGTTATGATGAAATGTGGCTCTCCACGTTCACGATCAGTTAAGTTACAAGCAATAGAATAATACAAATATCAAATAAGTTGTAACATTTACCTAGTCCAGATAACTAATTATTTAGCTAACATTTATTTCAATATTACAATTAAAAAAGAAAATGTCTGGCTGCGGTAACGTTTCAAACGTTACCCCAGCAGGAAATGTTTTTTTGAAATAACTAAAAAAGTTTAAGTGAAACAAATTTAAAAATGTGCCTAACAATTACAGAACGGGAGCAACTAATTATCTATAACGTTTAAATGACCATTTTCGACATTATTTTGCTGGGGTAACGCACACGTCGAAGTCGCATGCGTTGCCCCCGTCTATCACGCGATGGACCCGGCACCCGCACGGTGAATCCATGTAACGCTAAGAAATTGGTCTTAGAAAATATATATTTTAAACTAGTCCTGGAAGTTAAACTTCTTCGTCGTTAACCTTAACAATTTCAATAAACACCAGTTTTGTTCCAATATGGGTAAGTAAAATATACTTACCCATGTGGTGTACCCTTATCCGTGTGGTGACGGATTAAGAAAACAGAGTGTCACCACCCCTATTCATCCCGTGGGTGTCGTAAGAGCCGACTAAGGGAAAAAACTACGCAGAACAACAGCCCTGCAGAGAGAAGGAAGACTTGACACAAACCCTTTTTTTTTTTAACGTGTGGAAATCCCCTCGGACCGTCACCCCACCGGGGTTTGCGGCTGGGTGTTGTGTCGGACTCGGACCGACTAAAACCACACGGTGTGCCACTCTGCGCCTGTAATAAGAGGGATCCGGGAACAGCTGTTATTAAGACATCCGGACCCCTCCTAGCGCCGGCCCGCTCCTGTTGCGGGCCCCGTCTCAAAATATTCCTCTCTTTAGGCGACGTCCGGCACACGCGGACGCCGCCCCCTCGCGGCTGGCCAAACTAATGCGGGTGGAGGGGAAACCCACCCCTTCCACCCGCGGCCACACTCAGGGCGGCATGAGGCGGTGATAGGCGCGCCTCCGCCGCCCGGTTCGCCGGCGGCGGATCGGGTCCGAGTGGAGGTCGTCCTCCCGGGCCTTCTCCGCCGCCTCCTTCTGCGAGATTACTTCCTCGCAGAAGGTTGCGACCGCCAGCGTGTGCTAGGCCGAGTCCTCACTGCAGTCGCAGTGGTGGCAGGCGGGACTCAGTTCCCTTTTAGCGACCGAGTGCAGGTACTTTCAGAAGCAACCGTGCCCGGAAAGCACCTGCGTCAGCCGGAAGGTAAGGGTCCCGTGCTGCCGCCCTGCCCACTCGGGGATGACCGGCTGGAGAGCCTCCACGGCGGCGAAGCCAGCACGTGGAGTCTCCAGCCGGAACGACCAACGAGCCATCGTGGCTCGGCGAGCGGCTTCACGCCACTCGCGCACATCCTCGGGCGGAGGGCGAAATCCGCTCTCCGCCGCGATAAACTTCAACGAGCACTTCCGCCTCCAAATCCCACGGGGAGTACCGGCCAACGCGCACGCCACCTCCATCGAAACGGTGCGGTAACCGCGTATGGCTCTAACCGCCATTACCCTCTGAGGGCGCCAGAGGCGTGCCCTATTCTGGGCGGTTAGAGCCGCCGCCCACACCGGTGCACCGCACCGCACGCAGCCGCCTCGTGGGAACACTGGCCCCGCCCAAATTGGGCAAAAGTCGCCCTAGGGCGGAGGCAGCGCCGACCAGCTTTGGAGCAAGCTGTCGGAAGTGCTCGTCGAAGAGCCACCTCCCGTCGAGGATCAGTCCCAGATATTTCATCTGGGCCCGAACCGGTACGAGGACCGAGTTGACCACGATTGAGGCGCCAGCGGGTGGACCACGACGGGGCCCATGAAATAACAGGGCCTCCGTCTTATCTAGGGCCACCCGTAAGCCCAGCGCTTCAATGCGCCCGACCACCAGGGAGACTCTCCTTGTGGCCAGGCGCGCCGCCTCTTGGTAGTTCGCCCCCCGGGCTGTCACCAGAGTGTCATCTGCGTAACAAATTACACCCAGCCCGGGGGGAAATCGGCTCGAAGGGCCCAGTCGTACCCTATGTTCCACAAGAGGGGTCCAAGAACAGACCCCTGTGGAACACCGCACGACATGGGCCGACTTGACACAAACCCTATACCAACCCGTCTGGCCAGCGTGGTATAGTAGGCCAAAACCTCCTTTCTAAGGAGAGGCCTATGTCCAGCAGTGGACTGTTATAGGCTGTTGATGTGATGATGTGAAAATATACTTTTGACAATAAGTATATTTTTATACTAATTTATAACTAAGGTATAATGGAAAACAGTAAACATATTGGAATAGAGTGACAAATGAGACTCGGGCCCGACAGCCACCAAGTTGGCGCGGGACATTATAACTAGGTAACCATTTATGTTTTTTTTTTAAATGTCTACCTAACCTGGCTACGAACGTGTTAAAACATTATGGAAAGGTGTGAATATGATTGCATACTTAACGCATACATAGCATAGCATATCTCTGGTGGAAAGGTGCCCTGAAACCCAGAATTGTAGTGCCGTACCGTTCACAGCCCTGTCTCGTTGGGAACAGCGGACCAGCTTCGATGCACTGCTGGCTACAGGAGCAGCCAGTTCAGGATACTAGTACATTTGGAATACGGTAATTTTAGAACAGGATTACAACTTGACGCGCCAAAAGAAATGAAAGGAATTAGGAAACCGACATCTGATTGGAATCACCGCCACTAGATATACAGCGCCATCTAGCAAAGATTCACTAAACTACGTAGTAATGACTAAACCTGCTGGAGAAACCGTAGGAGCCGTAGCTGCCTACCTAATATGCGTTTCTCAACATCGCGCCTGGCTCCACAGAAACATTTATGTTAATGTTAGATATTGTTAATTATTGTTAGTTATTGTTATAACGATCACTCATTTATGTTTCTGTAAAAAGTTATTGAATCTTGAGAAACAATATAGAAATTCAAAAAAAACAATTAAAGAATTGTTAGAAATTACATAAATATAATATGTAAAGTTTTTTTCACATTTCTTATCAATGCAACCACTATGTCACAACCAAGCGTGGCAGGGTACTTACAACTTGTTTAGGTATATCCTAATTATCTATGGTATATATATACATCTATATCTAAACAAGCAAATAAAAAAGTGTCTGTAATGTCAAAACAATAGGGTTTTTTCATGCTCACGGGTTATTTGCAATATGCCTAAAAACCAGTGTCAATTTTTTGTCTGTCTGTCTATTTGTTCCTTGTAATCTTCTTAACGGCTGGACTGATTTTGATATTATGTAAATACCA